GCCTCCATTTTTGCACTCAGGTCTAAGTCTCATGGCCCTCTATCAGAATCCAGAGTTTTGGGAAGATTGGAGAAACTTAATTTTTCGCCAAAAAAAAAAAAAACGTAAGGGGTACCACTGTCGTTTTTTTTTTCGGGCCGAATTTTTGAGTTTCGATATCTCAGCTCTGGAAGGGGCTAGAGCCTCCATTTTTGCACTCAGGTCTAAGTCTCATGGCCCTCTATCAGAATCCAGAGTTTTGGGAAGATTGGAGAAACTTAATTTTTCGCCCAAAAAAAAAAACGTAAGGGGTACCACTGTCGTTTTTTTTTCGGGCAAATTTTTGAGTTTCGATATCTCAGCTCTGGAAGGGGCTAGAGCCTCCATTTTTGCACTCAGGTCTAAGTCTCATGGCCCTCTATCAGAATCCAGAGTTTTGGGAAGATTGGAGAAACTTAATTTTTCGCCCAAAAAAAAAAAACGTAAGGGGTACCACTGTCGTTTTTTTTTCGGGCCGAATTTTTGAGTTTCGATATCTCAGCTCTGGAAGGGGCTAGAGCCTCCATTTTTGCACTCAGGTCTAAGTCTCATGGCCCTCTATCAGAATCCAGATTTTGGGAAGATTGGAGAAACTTAATTTTTCGCCCAAAAAAAAAAACGTAAGGGGTACCACTGTCGTTTTTTTTTTCGGGCCGAATTTTTGAGTTTCGATATCTCAGCTCTGGAAGGGGCTAGAGCCTCCATTTTTGCACTCAGGTCTAAGTCTCATGGCCCTCTATCAGAATCCAGAGTTTTGGGAAGATTGGAGAAACTTAATTTTTCGCCCAAAAAAAAAAAAACGTAAGGGGTACCACTGTCGTTTTTTTTTCGGGCCGAATTTTTGAGTTTCGATATCTCAGCTCTGGAAGGGGCTAGAGCCTCCATTTTTGCACTCAGGTCTAAGTCTCATGGCCCTCTATCAGAATCCAGAGTTTTGGGAAGATTGGAGAAACTTAATTTTTCGCCAAAAAAAAAAAAACGTAAGGGGTACCACTGTCGTTTTTTTTTCGGGCCGAATTTTTGAGTTTCGATATCTCAGCTCTGGAAGGGGCTAGAGCCTCCATTTTTGCACTCAGGTCTAAGTCTCATGGCCCTCTATCAGAATCCAGAGTTTTGGGAAGATTGGAGAAACTTAATTTTTCGCCCCAAAAAAAAAACGTAAGGGGTACCACTGTCGTTTTTTTTTTCGGGCCGAATTTTTGAGTTTCGATATCTCAGCTCTGGAAGGGGCTAGAGCCTCCATTTTTGCACTCAGGTCTAAGTCTCATGGCCCTCTATCAGAATCCAGAGTTTTGGGAAGATTGGAGAAACTTAATTTTTCGCCCAAAAAAAAAAAAACGTAAGGGGTACCACTGTCGTTTTTTTTTCGGGCCGAATTTTTGAGTTTCGATATCTCAGCTCTGGAAGGGGCTAGAGCCTCCATTTTTGCACTCAGGTCTAAGTCTCATGGCCCTCTATCAGAATCCAGAGTTTTGGGAAGATTGGAGAAACTTAATTTTTCGCCCAAAAAAAAAACGTAAGGGGTACCACTGTCGTTTTTTTTTTCGGGCCGAATTTTTGAGTTTCGATATCTCAGCTCTGGAAGGGGCTAGAGCCTCCATTTTTGCACTCAGGTCTAAGTCTCATGGCCCTCTATCAGAATCCAGAGTTTTGGGAAGATTGGAGAAACTTAATTTTTCGCCCAAAAAAAAAAACGTAAGGGGTACCACTGTCGTTTTTTTTTCGGGCCGAATTTTTGAGTTTCGATATCTCAGCTCTGGAAGGGGCTAGAGCCTCCATTTTTGCACTCAGGTCTAAGTCTCATGGCCCTCTATCAGAATCCAGAGTTTTGGGAAGATTGGAGAAACTTAATTTTTCGCCAAAAAAAAAAAAAACGTAAGGGGTACCACTGTCGTTTTTTTTTTCGGGCCGAATTTTTGAGTTTCGATATCTCAGCTCTGGAAGGGGCTAGAGCCTCCATTTTTGCACTCAGGTCTAAGTCTCATGGCCCTCTATCAGAATCCAGAGTTTTGGGAAGATTGGAGAAACTTAATTTTTCGCCCAAAAAAAAAAACGTAAGGGGTACCACTGTCGTTTTTTTTTTCGGGCCGAATTTTTGAGTTTCGATATCTCAGCTCTGGAAGGGGCTAGAGCCTCCATTTTTGCACTCAGGTCTAAGTCTCATGGCCCTCTATCAGAATCCAGAGTTTTGGGAAGATTGGAGAAACTTAATTTTTCGCCCAAAAAAAAAACGTAAGGGGTACCACTGTCGTTTTTTTTTCGGGCCGAATTTTTGAGTTTCGATATCTCAGCTCTGGAAGGGGCTAGAGCCTCCATTTTTGCACTCAGGTCTAAGTCTCATGGCCCTCTATCAGAATCCAGAGTTTTGGGAAGATTGGAGAAACTTAATTTTTCGCCCAAAAAAAAAACGTAAGGGGTACCACTGTCGTTTTTTTTTCGGGCCAAATTTTTGAGTTTCGATATCTCAGCTCTGGAAGGGGCTAGAGCCTCCATTTTTGCACTCAGGTCTAAGTCTCATGGCCCTCTATCAGAATCCAGAGTTTTGGGAAGATTGGAGAAACTTAATTTTTCGCCCAAAAAAAAAAACGTAAGGGGTACCACTGTCGTTTTTTTTTCGGCCCGAATTTTTGAGTTTCGATATCTCAGCTCTGGAAGGGGCTAGAGCCTCCATTTTTGCACTCAGGTCTAAGTCTCATGGCCCTCTATCAGAATCCAGAGTTTTGGGAAGATTGGAGAAACTTAATTTTTCGCCCAAAAAAAAAAACGTAAGGGTACCACTGTCGTTTTTTTTTTTGGGGCCGAATTTTTGAGTTTCGATATCTCAGCTCTGGAAGGGGCTAGAGCCTCCATTTTTGCACTCAGGTCTAAGTCTCATGGCCCTCTATCAGAATCCAGAGTTTTGGGAAGATTGGAGAAACTTAATTTTTCGCCCAAAAAAAAAAAACGTAAGGGGTACCACTGTCGTTTTTTTTTTCGGGCCAAATTTTTGAGTTTCGATATCTCAGCTCTGGAAGGGGCTAGAGCCTCCATTTTTGCACTCAGGTCTAAGTCTCATGGCCCTCTATCAGAATCCAGAGTTTTGGGAAGATTGGAGAAACTTAATTTTTCGCCCAAAAAAAAAAACGTAAGGGGTACCACTGTCGTTTTTTTTTTTCGGGCCGAATTTTTGAGTTTCGATATCTCAGCTCTGGAAGGGGCTAGAGCCTCCATTTTTGCACTCAGGTCTAAGTCTCATGGCCCTCTATCAGAATCCAGAGTTTTGGGAAGATTGGAGAAACTTAATTTTTCGCCCAAAAAAAAAAAACGTAAGGGGTACCACTGTCGTTTTTTTTTCGGGCCGAATTTTTGAGTTTCGATATCTCAGCTCTGGAAGGGGCTAGAGCCTCCATTTTTGCACTCAGGTCTAAGTCTCATGGCCCTCTATCAGAATCCAGAGTTTTGGGAAGATTGGAGAAACTTAATTTTTCGCCCAAAAAAAAAAAAAACGTAAGGGGTACCACTGTTGTTTTTTTTTCGGGCCGAATTTTTGAGTTTCGATATCTCAGCTCTGGAAGGGGCTAGAGCCTCCATTTTTGCACTCAGGTCTAAGTCTCATGGCCCTCTATCAGAATCCAGAGTTTTGGGAAGATTGGAGAAACTTAATTTTTCGCCCAAAAAAAAAAAAACGTAAGGGGTACCACTGTCGTTTTTTTTCGGGCCAAATTTTTGAGTTTCGATATCTCAGCTCTGGAAGGGGCTAGAGCCTCCATTTTTGCACTCAGGTCTAAGTCTCATGGCCCTCTATCAGAATCCAGAGTTTTGGGAAGATTGGAGAAACTTAATTTTTCGCCCAAAAAAAAAAAACGACAGTGGTACCCCTTACGTTTTTTTTTTTGGGCCAAATTTTTGAGTTTCGATATCTCATCTCTGGAAGGGGCTAGAGCGTAAATTTTTGCACTCAGGTCTAAGTCTCATGGCCCTCTATCAGAATCCAGAGTCTTGGGAAGATTGGAGAAACTTAATTTTTCGCCCAAAAAAAAAAAAAAAACGTAAGGGGTACCACTGTTTTTTTTTTTTCGGGCCGAATTTTTGAGTTTCGATATCTCAGCTCTGGAAGGGGCTAGAGCCTCCATTTTTGCACTCAGGTCTAAGTCTCATGGCCCTCTATCAGAATCCAGAGTTTTGAGAAGATTGGGGACACTTAATTTTTTAAACATTGTGGTTTGGATACAAATTATTTCAAACTGCTCAGGCACAGTGAGTAGCGGGAGAGAAATTATTTTGTAAATGCTGGTTTTGAGACCATGGTGAACTTGAGACGGTTTTGCACAGCGCACTTGAATCCGACTCTGAGGTCTCAAAGTGACAGACGCTGCTAATAAAGATGCTGTCGCCATGTGTGTCAATAATCAAACATCAGAAAGAAAGTAATTTAACGTTACTGTATTTGATTGAATTACTTTTGCAAAATTAACAAGAATGAATGTTGAATTTATAGTGAAAACCATGTAGGCTATTGTATATTTGATTACTTTATGTAATATAATATTATTCAGTGCTTAAAGTTTTTCATAAGTCGATTTATTGTGCCTTTGTTCTATTTTAATTTGTGACACTTGTCATCAGTAAGCTTGAGATTATTTTCTTAAGCTACTATTATTTTTGGTGATATTGAAATTGGTCACAATAATTATGAAATTTTAGTCGCAATACATTTTGATGTGTTAAAAAAATCGTGTTAAAAGTAACATATCTTAACTGTGAAGTATATCATAGATAGATAAAATGACTCGTATAATAATATAACATTTAGCTCATGTAGTTGGTGACCTAAAGTGGTGGGGGGGCCCTGCAGTAACTCATAGCCCCGGGGCCCAGTGGGCTCTTAATACGGCCCTGGTTACCAACACATGAAATGAATACATTAAGGTTACATTGTGGATTATAGATCCCAGTGTTTCTAGTGAGGTCTATGGAGATTAGATTTTCTGTTAATTACACACCTGTGAGTTGGCTTCTAGGTAGTTGTAGAGCACATTCACTGATATGGTGAGATCCCCTGTGTTAAAAGGGTACTTTCTGTTCCAGCCCTGTGGCCCAAATTTCCTCCTTTCAGCCACACAAGCGTGGAAATAACACAGCGAGAATAGGATGGTCTTAAACTCCTGCTCACGGGAACACTGGTCCAGAATGTCCTGCATTCACAACACAAATTAGCATGTTATCAAAAGAGTTCATGTCATTTGACTTAATCATCATACACGAGTAAAGATTTTGTGTTACATCTCCTCCTTGACAAGTCTGAAGCCTTACAAAATTGTTATCAAAACATATTTGATGCTATTTTGAACCACTAGCGTTTCACAGTGGGTGGAGCCACCAGGACATGTCATCGCGACTCGAGTTCATTCGGTTTAACCTGATCAAAGTTGTCCAGAGCAGCATGCAGGTTGGCCAGCATGCCTGTGGGTGGCTCGTTAGTGATTTTGATGGAATTTTCCAGAATTCCCTGTGGAATGATGTGTTCCTGTGGAGTGGGAGAGGGTTCTGCACTCATGAACACTCTGTAGTCTTGGTGACTGTTCTCACAGCAACATTCGAGAAGCTTCTCAAGACTTCCCAGCCACTTTGCCACCAGGTGAATGTTCTAGAAAGAAATGCATGCAAATGTATAAAACAACAGAAATATAGAGCAGCATACAGATCATGTACACAAAGACACACCTGTAAAATGACCCAATGGCCCTCTCTGGAGGCCTTTTCCATGGCAAGTTCAGCCACAGATTCCTGGCCCTGTCCTAGAGACACGTTATGGAGCTTTCCCAGGTCTATTGTGAAACCCAGCTTCTTGCCTTAACATGCACAGAAATACACAGGCTTTCATCACAATGTCAGTTTAAACACTCTTTTTTAGGCATATCGTATTCAAATTGAATGTTTTTCATGATGCAGTACCACAGTCAAGATGATGGCACACTCTCTTTACTTGACAAGCTAAACGTTAAAGATTCATGCATAGGATGAATTAAGAGCCAGTGTGTATTTTTACCCAGGGACTCGACATCTTTTAGGGGGTCCACTCCAGGGGACAGGATGAAGAATACAGGGGAAGCAGGACCGCACTCTTTGAATGAACGTGCAAACTCCATCTTCCTGCTCTCGGTGTACTGCACACCTAGTTTCTCTTCCACAAAGTTCCTAGACACACACAAACACATTTGTTTTTGTTTTCTTGATGGGGACTTTTACTGTTTTTATACTACGCTTATCTGAACTCATTTTTAAATATTAAAACATTATTTAGTGTGATGATTAACAGGTTAGTCCATCCAAAAAAGAAATTCTGCCATCATTTGTTGTTCCAAACTATCTTTGCTCATCTTTGAAAAAATAAATGAGGATATTTTTAACTCTATTCTTTATTGTCCATCCATTGAAAGTGCGCAACCAACATTTTTAAGATTCAAAAATGACATGAAGACGTTGTAAAAGTAATCCACAGTCCATATTAATCCAGGTGTTCTATATGATGGAACAGATATTATTTAGGCTTTTATTCACATTAATTAACGCACATAGAGCTCATCAAATATGGTAAAATGACTCTCAAACATGTTTGATTCATATGAAGTACTTTAACCATGTCTTTTTTGTACTTAATAATGTGTGACAATTTCAGTTTTATGGACTTTCAATTAATGGACAAGAGAATATTTATCACCATTTGTGTTACGAAGAGTGTGGTGGAAATTTTAAACTATATATATTAAACTAACATCTAACCTTATTTAAAGGAGAACTCAGGCGCAAAATGAACCTTTGGTCTAATAACCGTTCTCTGAGATTAGTTTTCATGATTATGGAACGTAAAGAGTTTTATCTCCAAAAACTGTTTAGCGTGTACACTAGTATATGGGGGCATATAATAAGTAAAGAGAAATCGCTAGTTAATACCACTAACAAGGCTCAAAATAGCCCCACACTAACACAGTAACATAATGAGGGTCCATACATGCAAAACAAAGCATTGAGAACTTTGTAAGAGTACAGACCGTTTAAAGGGATACTCCACTTTTTTTGGAAATAGGCTCATTTTATAACTCCCCCAGAGTTAAACTGTTGAGTTTTACCGTTTTCGAATCCATTCAGCTGATTTTCTGATATTTAGAAGAATATCAGTAACCAGACAGTTTCTGGTCTCATTGACTTCCATAGTATATTTTTTTCCTACTATGGAAGTCAATGAGACCAGACACTGTCTGTTTACTGATATTCTTCTAAATACAATAAAATCGGCTGAATGGATTCGAAAACGGGAAAACTCCACTTTTTTTGGAAATAGGCTGAGTTAAACAGTTGAGTATCCCTTTAATAAGAAGATACTTTATAAAGACAGCGCACTTCATGGGTGCTTCTCAATATCCCTCCTCGTCTCCTCGCTCCTCCGTCCTCCCTCCTATGACCCGGAAACCGATCGAGCTCAGCCATCTTGAAGGACATCTCAATTCTCTAATTGCACCGTGAGGAGTCGAGGATCGAGGAGATAGGAGGCTTCCTGAGGAGTCATAAGCGAGGATACACAGGTGCATCCTACGCGGAACTGTTATTGACTAAACGTGACGCACGTGTCAATTCTCCTCCCCCTTCACATCGGTCACAATCATTTTAATTTATACTTTACCTTTGCAGTTTATATAAACCACACATCTCAGATATTTCAACAGTATAGCCTATCTTTATTATTATTTATTATGAATTTATTAAATAACCAAACTTCAGCATCATAAGGGCAGATCCTTTTAGCGCTGCTGATGACACTGTGAATTGACACTCGAGTGATCAAGTACTCCAAAAGCTTTTATTCGATTCCTCTGTCCTCCTTTCCTTTCCTCGCTTCCTTCCCTCGCGTCCTACAGGGGGTGGAGCTGAGACGCAAGGAAAGGAAACAAGGAAAGGAAACGAGGATGCACAAATAAGAAATGAGAAGCACCCCTTGTATACAGGCAGCAGCCATCTTTGGAAAACAGTCTCGACAAATCAAACCACGAACGACGTGCCAAGTGAGCTGAACTGTATGACTGTTTTGCAAAGATGGCTGCTGCCTGTATAAGCACAGACTGTACAAAAGACTGTAGTCGTCTGGAGACACGTTGAACGGTTAACGTAGCTAACATCAAATATATATATATGAAGAGTTCAGATGCAAAAGCCTCTAAGTGCCAATTGAAATTTTCTTCTAGAATGATCATTTTTATCAAGCTTGTATATTTAAGTTCAGTGATTTCACTTAAATGGCAATGATAATTACCTATTAATTGTTATTTAAGTGAAATTACTGAACTTAAATATACAAGTTTGATAAAAATCATCATTAAAGAAGAAAATTTCAAATGGCATTTAGAGGCTTTTGCATCTGAACTCTTCATATATAAACGTGCTAGTGTATAAGTTATAATAGTATAGCTCGTTTTAGGGAGACAAATCTAAAATAGTTAGGTTCGAGGATAAAAAATCCTGAGTGAAAGCTTTAAACTTCATAACTGATTCTGTCTTTAATAAACACATACTATACTTCATAGACTCACCGGACAGCGTACGTCATCCGGTCGGGTCGGAGAGCCCTCATAAGGATGAGTTTCTGGAGTGAACTCTTGCTTTTCCATTCCTGAGGGAGTTTCTCTTTCTCTGGACACTCTGACTCCACCACTTTCTTCCAGCGTTTGGGTGAGCCCTCGATGTCCCGGTCCAGACCACGAAACTCATCGGTGAAGCTCATTGTCTGCAGGAAGACGCCAGGGTAATAAAATACAATTATAAAATGTTGCGTAGACGTATACACACAAAAAAAAGGCCTCTCTTGCAGATTTGGAATTTATGAAACACAAATGATCTTAAAATGGATTCAGATCTCCTAATTAATGTCATTAACATATAAAACAGCACCAGTCAACGTCCAAATGCTTTGCTTGAGAATGGCGAGCGACAAGAATAGCTTAGATTTGCAAATCCTGCAGTGCTCCGACTCTACCACAAGGAAAAGTGTGAGCGTCAGCTTGAAACCTGTTGTGGCACTAAGCACTTTTCCATGTCCAGGCCCCAGGAGTGTTGCAGGTGATAATTGTCAGCTCCTTGTGCATGTGTGCGTGTGTGTTTCTTACTTTAACAGCACTCCAGGCGGTGTTGGAAAGGAAGTCGACTGGACTGGCATAATTATGGTCAATGTTGAAGCGCAGCAGAAAGTCAAGCTCCCGAGGATCCACCTCTTTACTCATTAACAACAACTGATACACACAAAAAGTATGTGTCAGGACAAAAAAACTCACCCATTCATTATAATGTGTGTTTCACCCAGACTGCATCACCTGAAATGTAAGCTGTGCCGCGAAAGTGAGCTTGTCTCTCTCAAACAAGCCTCTGTTGATGTAATTAAACGTAGAGAAGGTGATACAATCTATCAGTGTGTTTACACGGGTCTTTACATCAGAAGAGGCATCTGCGTTCTGCACCGCCTTGTGGAACACAACGTTAAATGCCTGCAGAACGAAGATAACATGCAAAGTGATTGAGCGTCACACAAAACCCAACAGAGCAACACTATCTCAGCAGAGTTGAGTTGGGGATATATGTCCTACAGAACACATACACAGACACACACAAACAAGGCCAGACCTTGAGGGAGAACTGGTACATGGGGTTGATCTTGTTAAGGTCATTGATGATGAAGTAGAGCAGGGATGCTCTGACAGCCACGGCCCGGTAGTGTTCACGAGCCTCATTAATCTTCACCTCATTAACCTTCGCCTCCAACACCTACACAGTGCAAAAGCAGAATCAGACCGAGAAGAAACAACAAATGCCAACTGCTTGTCTAATGTTCTAGGGAATGTGGTTACAATAATAGCTCTCTCCCATCATGAAGACTATGCAATAATTTGTTAAGGCCTGTCTGTGACCACAGAATTGACATGTCTATTAATCATAGTTCTCCAAATTACACATCAATAAACATCATGTTTATTTTATATATTGGCTATTTCGACAATTCTGCTTCAGCTGCAGTATCAAGTTTAGTCTAGTTTGGCTCAGCTCAACACAATGTAAAACATCTACCCGGGCAATAAGATTTTTAATGTTTTTGAAAAGTCTCTTCTGCTCATCAAGGCATCAACGCATTTTATGATGTCATTTATACCTGTGAAGGTCTTTAGTGTCACATGATCTTTAAAAAATATCAAAAATTAAAAAAATATTCTTATATGCTGATTTTGTGCTCATCAAATGTTAAAAACATACTTTTTTCAGGTTTTTTGATTAATTTAAAGGAATAGTTCACTTTGAAATTCATTTTTGGTATGTTTTAGCTTACCTCAAGGGCATCCAAAATGTAGGTGTCTTTGTTTGTACGCAGTAGTTTCAATTTTTATATTTTTAGGTCAAACTGTTCTTGTCTAACAGTCATATAATGGAGGTCTATGGTCACCACCTCAAAGAGCATGCACAGAGAAGTCCAAATTAAACATGATTTAATGACTCGTAAATGCAAGTAAACGAAACGAGCGGGTTTGTGTGAGAAAACGAACTGTATTTATATCATTTTTACCTCTTGTAACCACAGCCACAAAGATCGCCCTCAGATCACTTGGACGTGGCTGTGGTTACAAGAGGTAAAAACGATATAAATATTGCTCGTTTCGTGTCTTAGGCCATCAATGTGTACTTACATTTATAAGTCATTAAATCATATTTAATTTGGACTTCTCTGTGCATGCTCTTTGAGGTGGACCCCATAGACCTCCATTATATGACTGACAGACGCGGACGGTTTGACTTCAAAATATTAAAATTAAAACTTCTGCGGAAACAAAGACACCTACATCTTGGATGCCCTTGAGGTAAGCTAAAACATACCAAAAATATATTTCAAAGTGAAATATCCATAAGCATTTATTTCAAATATAATGATTATTTAGTAAAAATGTCAAAGTTTTTACTGCCACTTTTGATCAATTTAATACATCCTTCTTGAATAAAAGAAAGAAATATTATCGAGCACAAACTTTTGAATGGTAGTGTAATCAATTCCCACAAAACCAAATGTGAGCAGATTCTAACATTCTAATATGAAGGTAATCTTTGACATTGAGTTCCACGTTATTTCACCATATTCGATTTTCCAGGAAAAACGGTTGAAAACACACAAACCTTCATCTCAATCTCGGCAGCTGTGTGTTTAGTGCTCTCGAGTTTCTCGACCAGAACGTTGTCTCCCAGGAAGTTATTCTCAGCGGCGGAGAGACGTGTCAGTAACTCATCCTCGAGCTGCTTTAACTCGATTTTAAACGTGTTCTGTTGTTTAGTCAGTTCAGACTGCAGATACACACAGAGAACTATCAGTAACACTTCACTCAAAAGCGTGTCCAGGTCTGACTAAACAAGTCCACACACACCTTGAGATGTTCGAGGTCTGGTCTCTCCAGGTTGACCACCTCCGCGAGCAGCTGGTCCTCGAGCCCGTCCCGTGTGACGGTAAAGTTGATGAGGGTGGTCTGGGCCTGGATCTCAGGTTTATAGTGCGGGTTTGCCAGCTTAGTGTGTAGAATCAGACGGAAGTCAGGATGGAAATAACATTCCTTATCCCCCACTTTAATACATCTGCAGAGGGAAGAAGAGGGGCATGATGAGGGGAAGAGAACGGTTTGTTATACTGCTTTATTGATACACTTTTCTGTTTTTGTATTATATTTTGTGAAATGCTGTGTGTTGTTGTGTTGTGTTGCTTTACCTGCCCTTCTTGATGGTGTGTCGGCCCAGTAGTGGATCAATAACTGGTTCAATTGTCTCCTCTAGATTCTCAATCAACACAGGCTGTCCTGAGACCACGGCCTGTTCAATCACATCCACATACCTGTAGCGACAACGACACAGACGAAATTAAATACTGAAATAAATAGGTGGACAACATGAAACGGCATTAGCAATGCATTTACTTCCATTGTTAAAGGAGTAGTTCACTTTTTAAAAAAAACTTTTGCTGATAATTTACTCACCCCCATGTCATCCAAGATGTCCACATCTTTCTTTCTTCAGTCGAAAAGAAATTAAGGTCTCCATATAATGGACTTCAATGGGAACCAAATGGTTCAAGGTCCATATGAGAGTTTCAGTGCAGCTTCAAAGGGCTTTAAACGACACCAGACGATGAATAAGGGCCTTATCAAGGACCCTTCGAGTCATGACTCGAAAAAAGATTTGTTCATTTTGATGAACGAATTTGAACAGGAGTGTCACAAACGCTCATCACAGAACAGAGCAAGGCGAGCATTTGTGCTTATAAAACTTACACTTTTTAATTTATTTTTGAAATGACCGATCGTTTCGCTAGATAAGACCCTTATTCATCGTCTGGTGCCGTTTAAAGCCCTTTGAAGCTGCACTGAAACTCTCATTTGGACCTTGAACCGTTTGGTTCCCATTGAAGTCCATTATATGGAGAAAATCCTGGAATGTTTTCATCAAAAACCTTAATTACTTTTCAACTGAAGAAAGAAAGACATAGACATCTTGAATGACATGGGGGTGAGTAAATTATTAGCAAAAGTTTATTTTTTAAAGTGAACTACGCCTTTAAGTGAAAGATTTATTATATGGAGATAATGTTGGACAGGATTTGATTTTATCCATCAGGATTAAATCCATAAAATGTACATGGAGAAAGTTATTGCATTTTGTTGAAAGATTATAACTATTTTGTGTGCAATAAAACCAGGAGATTTGATCTAAAAAACAACAAAAAAAATGCAATATTTATATTTATAAGGTCCCTATTTTCACATTGTATGAAACATAATTTCTGAGGTGTGTTCATCAACCACTCACCCCTTCTGGCTGAGGTTAATAACCTTAAGGCTGTTGCCATAGCGACTCTTGAGCCACTTGATGCCCTGCAGCTGGGGGTCAATGAGCAGCGGCCAGCGTTCACAGTTGGTCAATATAGTGGCATTCTGAGTAGATATCTTATCACCCGGCAAGCCCTCGTTATTCCACTTCGCAATGGTAGCGCCATCTGTTAACATGGAGATGGGATCTAAGCCCTCAGTCATAGGGATGGGCACCTGAAAGTCAACAGGAAATGGAGAAAGAGAATAACATAAGAATAGAAGTATTAATATACAAAATGAATCTAAGGGATAGAATAACATCCTGTTATTGAAGGACGGGCAGTGCCCTCTGCAATCTACCGGACAACAAACTTAGATGTATTAAGCACATAGTCACTTCTACACCATCGGACCAAACCGTTCTCTTAAAGGTGCTACATGGATTTTTTAGCGGCCTCTATCGGTGATGTTTAAGATTGTGTTAATTTCATGTCTCATATATGTTGTACTTTACCTTGCTATTTCATTACAGTTTACCATTATTTCAGCATATCTCAAAACTTGTAATTTATCACAATAAAATTTGAGGACGTCTCGCCATAATTCAAAAGCCCTGCCGATGTTGATCCGTGCCAATCCGAATCACGTTTGGCCTGACGTGCTTCAGCAGATACTGAGATTTTTGTTTCGTTTTGTTTTTTATATTTTTGTGGAGTTTGTGTTGGAGTGTGTGTTGTTGTGCTGGAGGCAGGTCGTTTTTTGGGTGTTATCAGACTCCATGTCGTTCGCTGCAGTGCCGTCGCATAGACTGCATATAAAAGGAGAGAGGCTCGGGAAGACGTATGTACGTCACATCCGATGGATTTCGTAGAAAAGTCACATAAAAATAGGAATACTGGCCTTCAGAGGTAATATCAAAACCCGACAAGTGGATCATTGTAATGTGTGATTACAACCCTTTCACACACAGGCAATAAAAAAGGGATTCATTTTAGAAAAAAAGTTACATTTAGCAACTTTAACGGTACCAACCCTTCCGTTCCGTGCAGATCCGGCCCAGCCGGAATACAGTAGTCAACATTTGAAGTGGATCAAAATCTTTCATCAAAGTTATACAGGAATTTTGAACAATACCCATTGTTCTTGTCTTAGGACAACTTTTTTGATCCACTTCAAATGTTGACTACTGTATAACTGAAACCATTCCTTACATTCTCAGAACCATTCAGCCTCGCGGTGGAAAAGCGGATAAAATGGATACTAATTTCGTGAGAGAAAACTGTTTATTAAGCAAATTGGTTTAGTCTTAGTTTCATTTTCTTGAACTGAAATAAAATAAATTCCAAGTAAATTAAAAACTAAAACTTAACAAAAGTAAACTGAACTAAAATTAGCAAATATAAATAATTGTTTTGGCTTTTACTCTACGCAGTTTTAGGTTTCCGAACTTGAACAGGTGAAACAATACACATTTTAGCAGCACAATCTCCTTTTTATACAAAGACAATAACAGTGAAACTGTTTATCTTGAATACAGATTTTCTCTGTCCCTTACTTACCTTCTGGGCACGCAGGTAAGGCATCCAGAGGTTATGGAGTAACTCCTCTCTGTATCTCTTTGAGAACGAGCCAGCGTATGAGATGAAGGCTGCAGTGAGGAGAACGTCTCCACACAGAGTGGATTCCTGCTCGCGGTACTGAGCCACAGAGTGTACCCAGCGGACATTTTCTGACTGAAATAATTGGAAGATTTAAATAAATGATTGATCCCTACTAACAATGCACCAAACAGAAATGTACCATATTAATGGTAAATAATCGTTTTTTATTGTATACATTTATACATTTAATGAATTTTTCATTCAAAATTGGTACGACAACAAACATGCAACAAAACAAGTGTATTGTATTCTGACCTCTAAACCCTTGACCAGGCGGTTGGCCAGCTTGATGGTGTTGTTGGTGTGGTTCACCTCATCCTGACAGCGGAGTTTCTCCGAGGTTGCTTTTTCAAACGCAGCTTTCAGTGTGTCCAAACTACCATCCAACTCCTCCACATTTCACACAAACATATGACATTACACAGTGCATTTTTGTGAAATGCTGATAGGATATTGTGGTAGAGAGAGAGAAAGACTTACGGTCAGCTTCTTTCTGATGACCTCTAACTTTTCTGCAGCCTCAGCCAAGTCAGCGTTGGCCTGAGACAGACACATCCTCTTCACCTCCACCTCACACAACACCTTATTAAACCCAAACACATTTAAACACACAAACACAATACCAGCACATTAGAACTGGAGATTGAACTGGAGATGGATGATTCTTAGGCTGAACAGAATTATTGGCAGACATTGAAGATACAATAATAAAATCAGTTGACTACATACTCTACTGTTCAAAAGTTTTGGGCAAATATGGGTTTTTGAAAGAAGTCTTTACCAAGGCTACATTTCTTTGATCAAAAATACAGTAGAAACAGTAATATTATTACAATTCAAAATAACTGTTTTCTATTTTAAAAAATGTTTTTATTCTTGTGATGTAAGGCTGAATTACTCCAGTCTTCGGTCACATGATCCTTAATGCTGATGTGGTGCTCAAGTAACATTTCTTATTATCATCAATGTTGAAACTTTTGAATAGTTATGTATATACTTATACAGATTCTATTTAAACCGGGTTACGTTGGAATGTTTGTGTCCAGTATTATGTTGTATTATTGATCTGAACAGATTAGCAAGTGTTTACTCACATACGTCTGGACAGAACAGCATGGAGGAGGGAAGCAAAAAAACACACTGTAAACAATACAATCACAAAAAAATCAATGAGAATCCCACACAAGACATTCAGTCATTCAGTTAATCTAAAGTTCTACATATAGCAGCACTCTCGGTCTTAGTTTGTGCAAAAGTGTTTACATAGACACATTCATTTTATAATCTGGCATTTTTGAACTTGATGTAAATAGTTACTACTTTAAAGGGATACTCCACTTTTTTTGGAAATAGGCTCATTTTACAACTCCCACAGAGTTAAACAGTTAGGTTTTACCGTTTTCGAATCCATTCAGACGATTTTCTGATATTTAAAAAAATATCAGTCACCAGACAGTTTCTGGTCTCATTGACTTCCATAGTATATTTTTTTTCCTACTATGGAAATCAATGAGACCAGAAACCATCTGGTTACTGATATTTTTCTAAATATCAGAAAATCGGCTGAATGGATTCGAAAACGGTAAAACCCAACTGTTTAACTCTGTGGGAGTTGTAAAATGAGCCTATTTCCAGAAGAAGTGGAGTATCCCTTTAATAGTTCAATATACATATGCTAGACAGTGTAAGTGAGCAGAACCTCGTGGAAGCGGATGATGTTAATGACCCAGGCACAGAGACCGGCCGCGGCAGACGATTTCAGACGGACAAACTCCGGATTAAACTCAGGATCACTCAGATACTCGTCTTTGATGACACGCACTGTGGCTTCAGGGATGTGCTCTTTATCGAAATTAACCAGCGCCTGTAAGAAGTCATCCACCTAAACACACGCCAAAAGAAAAAATAAATCTACCCAATTTACCTCTTCGCATAACCAGTCTACAGTAGTTTCACTGCCAAATTATTCATACATCTCGACAATCAATATGTCATTTGAAAACTTCAATACTCAAGATTCGCTAACATTTTTTGTTCTCACATTTTGGTAATTTACGCAAATTTCAGCCTTTTGCCAGGTTTCAAGAAGATAGCTTAAGTTAAATGTCAGAAACATTTGCAAATTGCCCATGAGAATAAATCTTAAATGTCAACTCTACACACACTCACTTTACTCATGACAACTTTAGATGCTTTCCAGCTGCGATCCTTAGGGATTCGGCCGCCAGGAGCCAGGAGCACCAGAACAGCTGCAGACACATTCGATACGATGGCGGGAGGATTCGGAAACGTCCGCAACTCTGTTAGATTCAGCTGTATAGACACACACATACACGTACGATTACTCTGGACTAAACTAATCAAGTCTGCTCATCAAAATAATCCATTTGGATATGTGTGTGAAGACATGCATACACTACACACACAAATACACACCCTGTTGAGTGTGTTGAGTGCTGCATTAGCTGCCTGTAAAGCCGGTTCTGCTTTCCACAAATCTGCTTCAGTCTCCTGCTGCTGTTTGGTCACTTCTGCTTGAATTGCTTCTACCTGATACCCATCAATAGCAATTATTAATATAAACAAACAAGGATGGGGAATCATTCATGTGATATTCTAATATGGTGATGCATGATGTGTGATTTTGTGCATTAGGGTGGGAATATCTTTATGTGCGTGTCTCACTTTTTGCTCCTCTGCATCTGCTACGCTCCTCTCCTGACTGAGTTTTTCACTCTGTTGGCCAATTTTAGCGATGAGAGCTTCAGTATCAGTATTTCTTAGCTGCAACTCCACTTCCTGTGTGGCCAGTTTAGCCTTCAGATCCTCCACCTGAAAGAGAGGTCCAGAAAATGTCAAATTAAAGCTCTAGGACTGAGAATATGGTGTGATAATTAGATTTATTTAAATTTTATTTTAGTTTTTGCAGCTCATTCAGCTTCAAAAATGAAGGAATAGTTCATCATGTCATTATTTACTCCATCAACTGTCTGGTTACCGACATTCTTCAAAATATCTTCTTTTGTATTCAGCAGACAAAAGAAATTCATACAGGTTTGAAACAACTAGAGGGTGAGTAGATGATGACAATTTTCATTTTAAGTGGACTATTCCTTTAAGCCAAAAGAACATAGAAATCCTTTCACAGGATGAGGTGGTCACATTTTCTATACAATTTGATAGATTTTGGTGAAACCCTGTGTGTGTAGTTTTTAAATGCAAGTTTGACCTGTGATGCAGTGTTCAGTAGTTTCTGCAAGCCGTTCTCCAGACGTTCCATCTTCTGTCTCAATTCTCTTCTTTTTGTCCCCAGCAGGTTGCCGTAAAGTTTCATGAACTCCAGGAAGCTTTTGGGTGTGGTGTAGTTGAAACGTTTTTCATTCTGCTGATACTTTACACTGACTTCGTTCACACTAGTGTGTGCGAACGAGATAAATTCACTGATGGACACTCGCACCTCTGGCTACAGAAAAGAAAAGCACGTCTTGGTAAATGCATTTAGACTACCGTCGTAAAGTTTGGATAGGTATGCTTTTTCAATGTTTTAATGTTTCACTAAAAAAGTTATATTTTGAAATATTATTACAATTTAAAATAATAATTTTCTATTTTAATATACTTTTAAATGCTTTTTCAGCATCATTACTTCATCATTCTAACATGCTGATTTGCTGCTAAAGAAACATTTCTTAATTTTATAGTTTAAAATAACAGCATTTATATAAACAAATCTTTTGTGATGTTGTGAAAAAAATTATAAATGTCTTTACTGTGACTTTTGAACAATTTAATACATCCTTACTTAATAAAAGTATAAATGTTGTTGTTTTTTTTATCTTACTGGCCCTAAACAACAGTACATTAAGACGCATCTTTTAAGTATATTCTTCCTTTCAATCAATTTTATTTTTACAAATTAGGATGCAGCTATAATTGAATCTATTTTATACTATATCACCCTCGCTGTCCCTAGATTTTTACCTCCAGGCCAGAGATATTTTGTATAAAAGTGCTGCTGACGGACTGCAGTGCATGCTGGGGCCAAGGATGGAACCAGTCAATGGCGGTACAGTTCACAAGAGCCGGAAATTTCCGTGCACGTGTACGAAGAGTGAAGCCAACCGGAGAGAAACACAACACCACCTACAGAGCAGATTAGAAAGAGCATGACATCAGAATGATATTCACATATTCATACATAATATATACTAAATAAGAAAACCAACCTTGAGCTGTCTGCGTATACGATCAATGAAGAAATTCCAGCAGTTTTCACGTGTGTCCAGCAAACCAAGCGCCCTCAACTCCACACGAATAGAGGTGACGATCATATCAACCTCTTCCTCACTGAAGAGATCAGGTATATCCCCTACACACACACATATACATAAACACAAACAAACTGAGAGCTACTGTCAGGATTGAAAGTGTGAGAGTTTGCAATGCGAACCTGATGCTAGCATGTCGTTGATCAGGACCAGGAATCTTTCATCGGGAATCTGGGCATCTGTGTGCAGGAAGACTGTGCCGATGTTCTTCACTCCCACCTTTATGTACAGTGCAGCAATATCACTCTACACAGACAGAAAAAAGGGAAAACTTTTCACAATATTTCATATTAAGCATCTAACAAAGAGAGATGCAGTGTGTGTGGGGGTGTGTTACCCTCAGGTCACTGATGCCATAACCCTTTCTAAGTGTGATCTGAAATACTTCCAAGACGCTAAGAAAAGCAGCCAACCGACAGAGACTCTGCTTCCCACTACCACCTACTCCAATCAGCAAGGCATTACCCATAGGAGACTCAAGAATACGACTTATCCTACAACTGCACACAAACACACACAGATTACCCACGCAGATTAGAGCTGGGTGATAATATAGTTTATATTTTGCAATGATACAAGCAATCAAGCCGTTAGGATATGATATATAGTATATATCACCCCACTCAAGTATACTATATGAATACAGATAAAGTTGGACATACTTATATCCAACTTTACATAAAGAGCTCCAGTTGTTTGTTGTTTTTGCAAGGAAATAAAAGCCAAGCAGTTTTACAAGTATATTTTGTTTAATAAGTATATTTTGGATATAATACAGTATATGTCCAACTTTACCTAAAGAGCTGTGCGATCATACATTTACATTTTGCTATAGAGTATATTTTACTGTACGTGAGTTAATGTATGTATGCCGGTAAAGTAGGATGTACTATATATCTAAGTTTTAATATATTTCTCAACGATAATATAGTGCTCAAACTTCAAAAAATGAAAATTATCAACTTCAGAAAGTGAAACTAATTATTATATGAGCTGTTTTATGTTTTTGATTATGTTTAAAATTCTGTTAAATTCAGTTTAAAACCTGAAGGATTTTGTTATTTTCTAGCAGGCTCACATGTGTTGCATGGCTTCCTCAAACAGCACTAGGTTCATGTCAGAGTGCAGCTCATTGTAGTGCTCAAGAGCATCCATCAGGCTCTTCTGAAGCTTCTCCAGGTCTGTCACCTGTGCATAGCGTGGCTCACCCATACCATGAGCGAAATGACAGTAGATCAATGGCTGGTTGATAAATATAGACTCATCTATACCCTACACAAGAAGAGAGGAAAAGGTTTTACTTGATAATTAATCAGTTGACAGGCAGGCGACGACCCCACCAGAGATTTGAGAAGTTCTGCTCACCTCAAAGTATCTTTTGCCTGTGTCTAGCAGAATCTTGTTGAACAGCTCAACGTCTTTCTCCTCCATCAGTTTGTCTGAATACACACGAGAAGACTCGTGCAGCCATAGGTGCACCAGGTCTATAGGGTACCGCACATGCTCTGGCAGAGCGAAGCTGCGCTTTCTCATTCTCTCACCTCTCTAACAGCAAATTGATACACACATATACCTCACCGGATAAAAATTGTTAATGATACAGGGCTTGTGTAATTGCACTTATTATGCATCATTTTACTCATTCCTGCAGATTTTGTGCTTACACCCGAAGTGCGCGCACATAAAGCCGCCTCTCAGTACTAAACTGAGTTCTTGTTCACTGCTTATTGTGCTTAAACAGTCAAATACACACAAAAATATCATGTCAAATTTAAAATACCAGTCTTGGCAAGTATTCACAACACCTAAACACAGTTATGTAAGTGAACATAAACAGTTGAGAAAGAAAACATGTGTAACAACAGTATGACGGATCTGTTTCACAAAATGACAGCAGCCTAACATACCTGGTGCCAAAATATCTATATGGCAGTTTTTCCCCATGGTCTCGATTTTAAAATTGTGGCCAGTGAAAATGCTGAGTGGCTAGTAACTTTAGAAAACCACTTGTGAGCAAAATGTCAAGCCTTATACATGCCTTAAAGGAATCGTTCACTTAAAAATTCATAGCAATTCAGATTTTGGTTGAACTGTCCTTTTAAGACTCTGAAGGAAATTAAACTGTGATAAACTGTTTTATGAAAACAAAGTATAAGACAGACCATATTTTCTGTATTTTGCGTTTTGTTCACGACTGACCTGCAAAGGGATGTCGGGTTCCAGCTCAAAGGGAGGCGTGCGTTCACTCCACGGAGTGAACCGTTTGGTGTTGGGGTCGATGTAGTAATCAAACACTGATCCCTGAGAGGGAAACTTCACAGCTCTCATCTCCTTACACCACCAACGACTGAACTCTGAACGATAGTCTATCAGCTGACAAGAGACAAAGCAAAACAACAGAGATGGAGCATCACAAATATAGCTTATCACAAAGTAAAGATCACATTGGATATGTGGCTTATAGCGAACAGTGGTCATGAATTTGCAGACTAACATGGTCCTGGAATAGAGCCCCTCCAAAGGCCCACACACATGCAAACACAAAGTAGAGCTCATAGAGCTCACGGGGAGAGTCCGGAGGGGTGTTTTCATCAGTCAGCAAGCAGTCCAGCAGACAGCACAGGGTCTGATACATACAGACAATAGACACACATTAAAGTAACAGAAAGGTTTGGCTGTACATATTTATACTGTATGTAGCCTGTATGTTTTGGACAGTGTGTCTCTTACCTGTACCATACTCATCTCAGGTATAGGTGTGATCGTCTTCAGGTTGCATCTGACCTGCTCCAGACAGTAGGGTACATACTTATCAAACAATATAGTGAGATTTGCTCGCTCCGACTGGGCCTGACGGGTGTCTATCCAGCTTGTCACAAACCTGTTAATTAAAATGAGGGGTCTCAAACACAAACTCCAGTATTTGATACAAAACCACTCAAAAGACCCCAGAGTCAGTACGGTTGTTCTCTGATACAGAATATTTTGAAGAAAAAAAATTATTTCATAATGTGAGATGAAATAAATAAAAAGATATATTTTTTTACAAATAAAAGGGGGCAAATAATTCTGACCAGCACTGTTTATATAATAACAATTAATAATTTATAATAATAAGCTGCATCACTGTCTCCTCTCCACCAGTAAGCTGGTGTGTGGTGGGCATTCTGGTGCAATATGGCTGCTGTCATGCAGGTGGATGCTGGACATTGGTGGTGGTTTGAGTGCAGAGAAAAGCGCTATATAAATGTAATGAATTATTATTATTATTATTAATATGGTCACTCACGAACTCCAGCCCAGATCCTGAGGGTTCACGTAAAGAATTCCAGCCCTAGATACTGTAGCCGGTGTTGCAGCCTTCAGGTGGCTGATCTCAAACAGCAAACGCATGGAGGGGGTCAGTGATATCCGCTCATTACTGGCCAACGTAAGCACCTAATATATACACATCACATACACACATAAATAAATATAACAATCACACAGTACGCACATTTATGGCAATATTAAGTCATGACGAACAACCTTATTATCATCCATGACAGTATTCAGTGATTCAATCCACATGGGGTCGATGTCTCCATCTAGAACAATCCACTTCGGTCCATCATGTGATATGGCAGAGAGTTCTCTCATAGTGGAAGAAAACAGACCTGAAACCCAAGGATCTGTGATCACACAAACACACCTTCTCGCATATTTTTATACACACACAAAATGGCCGCAAAAAGCTTCTGAACACTTCTTGTTACTGCATTAGATACCAAAATATGTTTTTCTATTTTAATGTTTTAATATATTTATAAATGTAATTTATTTCTGTGTCACAAGATCCTTCAGAAATCTTTCAAATATGCTGATTTGGTGCTCAAGAAATATTTCATATTATTATTGATGATGAAAACAGTTTTACATATTTTTACATTTATGTGATACATTTTTCCAGGTTTCTTTGATGAATAGAAAGTCCAAAAGAACTCCAACAAAAGCAAAGCATTTACTTTAAATAAAAATCTTTTGTAACATTATAAATGTCTTTACTGTCACTTTTGGTCAATTTAATGCATCCTTGCTGAATAAAAGTATTTATTTCTTCTAGCCCTCAATCGGGTCATCAGGTCTATATGACCCCAAATGACTTTTATTTAATAAAAAAAAAGGTTCCCTTCATCTCAGTGGAATAAGATTTTGTGACTTTTCATACATTATCTATCTATACACAAACACACACACACACACAAACTGGGCTTGATTCAGTTGTTCTGAAGGTATGTAAAAAAAAAAAATTACATTCTGGTCTTTGGGGTCAATATATGACCCCACATTGAAATGAATGGGAAATGTGAAAAAAACTAAATATGTTTTTTTCATGTGTCAAAAATAAATAAATAAATCAAATCCGGCATAAATTTGAAAATGTTTACACAGAAATGAAGGCCTAGTACAAGAGCATAAATGCAATATATCATAAAAAAAATGATATTCATATGCAAGCTAATGGTGTAGTTGAGGTATTGTGTGGTATACGGATAGAAAAGTACTTTATATCTCCGAAAACACAGCATTAATGAATAGATGAGAAGTAAACAAAAAAATGATATATTTTTTGTATGATTAAAAATGTATTTTTTTGTACAATTACTCAATCAATTGTTGGGGTCGTATAGACCCCGAAGCCCAGAGTGTAAACAGGAAACGAAGACCATTTGAAGGTTAAAATGAAAAAAATCTTACGGACCCCAAAACCAGTAGCATTTAATATAAACCATTATATAAAATCTTTAGATTCGAATTAAAATCATATTTTGCCCTTTTATGAATCAAAGGTCCCAACCATCAGATATTTATGGGACATATGGTTCCTCATTGCAATAGACAAACGCAAAACAATCAAAAGTTTAGAGAAACAGCCGCATATGAACACATACACACCACAGCTGACAGCTGTCAACAGAGATGAACTTCAAACGATGGAATTAAACCACACTCCCATAAACACACCCACCATCTTTCCACTCCCGTGTAGCTGGGTGCAGAAAGCCAAACAGCTCATCGGTGGTGACAGCTTTAGGGTTGATGTCAGTCCAGATGGGCTTCAGTTTCATGTTAGAATAGGTCTTATGCAGTGTCTTCAGAATCTGACCCATAAACAACCACATAATTCAACCATATATACACCGGTTAGTTCACTGAAACAGCAACATGATCCACTTAATACAATGGAGCTGGCTAGTATAGGCTCTCTATACACAAATACATAGAGAAGGTCATCTCAGAGGTCATCACAACCACAGAAACATAGGTCTCTTTATTTCTTCATTGGACTGACCTGACTTTTTCCTGTTCCAGGTCCACCTACTACAAACACAGAGTGTCTCACCGCCAACAGTTCCTCCAGCTGGGTCACCTGAAAGCAGAAGGCGTGATAAAGAAACAGACGGGGAGAAGATGTGCAACTAATGGGGATCTACTGTATGTGCAAAACCATGAAAACATTTGAAGATTTCTCACATACGACAGACAGACCTTGAGTATGAAGTTTTCCTCTGGCTGCAGGTGGAGTTCAGCAACTGACTGACGTACGTTCTGCTCAAGCTCATTATCCCTCTTGCGTGGGATATCCAGAAGAGGAAAGAGATCACTTATAAGTCCCAAAAATATTGGCACATCACTCGTCACAACCTTGGGCAGGTTAAAGTCTCGCAGAGCACGCATCAGCACCTGAAAAACACACATACACCACATTACTGAATATGTTTTAAATATAAAGCAACAATGAGAAATTCATCACTTCTAAATTCCCATGAGCACCTGCTCTTCAGGGCGGCTCCTCTCCTCCCTCTTCAGTGACCCAGCAACAACCAAGACTGACTTTATGGCCCTTAAACCCCAGTCATAATGATCCTACAAAAAAGAATGATCTTGTTTTAGGATTAAAAAAATGCATTAAGTGTGTTTATGTATCAATGTGTGTGTACCTGTTTGGAGAGCAGCTCTTTGCAGAGTGTATAGAGGCTGATGAACTTGCGTGCGAGCAGACGTGCTTCTATAAAACCTTCAGCCACCAACATGATCTCACAGATTAACTCATAATCAGGAATGACCATCGCACATGGCCTGACAAACAGAGATATGAGTTATAACAGTAGATATAAGAATGTTCAGTGGACACCATGTCTATTTTTCCCATATAAACATCTAAAAATCCATATCTATTAAATCTCAATGTAAATGTGGTACTGGTATACTTTGCTAAAAAATGCATTTTGTTACTTTGGTCTGCATCGTAGGCTTCATCCTTCAAAATGTGGATATTACAAATCGCTGCATGGTTACCACTTGAAAAGCTCACTTACGATAAACATAAAAAATCTGACAGATTTTGGTCCATATGGTCCTCCCTTTGGGATTATATAAAGGAACTCCCTAAACTTCCAATCTAAGGGATGCTAAGTCAATGTGACCTTGTTTATGTGTGGTAGTTATTTTTTTTTTTTTTCAATTATTACTGTCTTTTATGTTGTGTACACCTTGTAATACAAATAGAACTTTGTTGTGATTCTGTAAATGTAAATTTTCTATTGTGGGCAAACAATAAATAATAAAAACAATTTTTAAAAACCATCTAAAAATCCAATATTATTGTCCATTCAATAACATAACCAGAGCTTAAACCTGAAAAGGGCTTTAAGGTTTTCTGGTAGTTCAGTCCTCCCTGCATATCCAGGGTTCAGAGTGATGAAGATCCCAACTGTTTGCCTTAACTCGATCTCCTCACCCAGGAAGTGGAACCTAATACACAATGGAATGAAAGGGTGAGAGATGGGATAGAATGGGATGGTTTGACATGATATGAGATAGAACGGAATGGAAAGGAAGGAATAGGATAGGATAGAAAAGTGTGAGTTATGAGTTATACTTGAGAGGATGGGGTGAGATGGAATGGGAGATTGTATGATGGAATAGGATAGAATGGATACAAAAAGTATAAAGAATGTGATGGAACAAGACACAATTGGATGGTATGGAATAGTGTAAGAAGAAATTGGTATGAAATTGTATGGAAAACAATAGAATAGGAAACAAGATGGTGAGAAAAAAGATGTGATGAACAGGACATGATAGGATTTGATGATACTGAATGGTGTGAAATGGGGTGAGATAGAGCTGACCTCTGTTTCTTGTTGCGAACTGCATCCTGAATGGTTTTCACCTGCACAGCAACCACAGACAGAACCTCCACAGAGATCCTGTTAAACTCATCAAAACAACCCCACACTCCCGTCTGGGCCAAACCTTTATAGATATTCCCTATGGACTGAAAGAAGAAACAATGCAAGTAAAGAGAGGTGTGCCAGTAGTGTTCCTGAGACCGATGTGTTGTGTTGTTGCCTGCACACCTTGTAGTCCATTTGCTCTGAGCAGTTGAACACATAGACCATAATGCCGAGCGATCGGCCAAGGTCTTTGGTGGTTTCTGTCTTGCCAGTTCCGGCAGGACCAGAGGTGGCGCCACTCATGGTGAGGTGCAGAGACTGAGTCAGAGTGATGTAACATCTGTGGGCATTAGTAAAATGGCCAGCATAGTCAAATAACATCATAACAGGATCACAAATATGATAAGTAATTGTGTGTGACACTGACCGGTCAGTGAGTGGTGTTATGACCAGTCTGTTGGTATTCCCCAGATACTCGTACGAGAACTGAAACTGTGCGTCACATATGTTGATGTAACAGTGCTTCTGCTGCTCATCCCATCGGTGCCGTAACTGTGACAGCCACGCAAATGCCTGTCCACTGGTCACCTAGGACACATCAATTTCTTAAACCCTTATTTTTGGCAACAGAATGTAGATTCAATACAGGTTTGATTACCTTCTGAGATACGAGTTTAGCGACTACATCACGAGCGTGGACATCAATAGTGCAGATGGTCATGATCTTTTGTCGGTCCCCTGGGGTAAGGTCACCCAGTAGCATGTGTATCAGAGAGTGCAGCTGACCGATCTACAGTTACAAACAACAGTGATTTTCCCAGCTATCAACATAAAGTGAGATGAGTTTGTGCTTTTATGTTTGTATTTACCTGTTTTCGGTTGTAGTCTTTCAGGGCAGTCTCGAAACCTTCCTCCACTCTCTCAAAGGCAATGCCCACATCTATCGCCCACCAAATTTGACTGCCAGTCAGTGCGACCTAAGAACCAGACATATACAAATGGACACATCTGTTAAATAACTGCCTTCATGCAACATTGTTTTTCATTTACCCAACCTTTAACCTACTAATTGTAGAGTTAACGAAAGGTATCATGAGCATTGTTATGTTTAAAGTGGATGTCATACTTTTTAAAGCGAGCAGTTCATTCATAAATCTGCAAGATCTTACCTTCACACTGTGAAAATACAAACTTGAAGATAAAACACAAAAAGTGCAGTGCTAAAAAGTAATGGGGCTACAGCTACATAAGGTCTATTAAGTTACAAATTAATAGGATAGGAACCAGAATTTCAATTCTGGTTGTGATTTCTTCTAATGAATCTTTTTTTTTTTGGTTCTTACAATAATTAATACAATTCAATACTTAAAGGGATAGTTCACCAAAAAATACAAATTCTGTCATCGTTTACTCACTCTCAAATTGTTCCAAACCTGTATAAATGTCTTTGTTCTGCTGTACACAAAGGAAGATATTTGAAAGATTGTAACCAAGCAGATCTCAGGCCCCATTGACTAGCATAGTATTTTTCTTTCTACTATGGAAGTCAATGGGCTTTATGCACAGCTGCACTACTTCCTGAACGTCAGCCAGCTCCTTGTTTCCTGTCTGCCATTATTGGCCAAATTTGATTAATTCAGGTGTGCTTGATTATTGTTGCCGTGACTACTGAGATCAGGCACACCTGAATTAATCAATTTGTCCAATAATGGCAAACAGGAAACAAGGAGCTGGCTTAAGTTCAGGAAGTAGTGCAGCTTTGCATAAAGCCAATTGAGGCCCGAGATCTGCTTGGTTTTTGGAATTGGACTAAACTGATAATGCTGTAGATTTCATGTAGTAAAATAAAAATATAAGCCTCAATTCCACCATTTTGAATTTTCCAAAAAAACTACTTTTCAAATTTCTCACAGCCCATTGCTCTGATTTTCACGAAAAATTAACCAGATCATCTTCATACCACGGCGACAAAAAGTTATGGAATTCAAGTCGATTTGTCATCCCATTCTCGAATAACAAAATTCCCGCCAAAATGAACGTGAGGCTATACACTCACCGGCCACTTTATTAGGTACCCCATGCTAGTAACGGGTTGGACCCCCTTTTACCTTCAGAACTGCCTCAATTCTTCGTGGCATAGATTCAACAAGGTGCTGGAAGCATTCCTCAGGGAGTTTGGTCCATATTGACATGATGGCATCACACAGTTGCCGCAGATTTGTCGGCTGCACATCCATGATGCGAATCTCCCGTTCCACAACATCCCAAAGATGCTCTATTGGATTGAGATCTGGTGACTGTGGAGGCCATTTGAGTACAGCGAACTCATTGTCATGTTCAAGAAACCAGTCTGAGATGATTACAGCTTTATGACATGGCGCATTATCCTGCTGAAAGTAGCCATCAGAAGTTGGGTACATTGTGGTCATAAAGGGATGGACATGGTCAGCAACAATACTCAGGTAGGCTGTGGCGTTGCAACGATGCTCAATTGGTACCAAGGGGCCCAAAGAGTGCCAAGAAAATATTCCCCACACCATGACACCACCACCACCAGCCTGAACCGTTGATACAAGGCAGGATGGATCCATGCTTTCATGTTGTAGACGCCAAATTCTGACCCTACCATCCGAATGTCGCAGCAGAAATCGAGACTCATCAGACCAGGCAACGTTTTTCCAATCTTCTATTGTCCAATTTCGATGAGCTTGTGCAAATTGTAGCCTCAGTTTCCTGTTCTTAGCTGAAAGGAGTGGCACCCGGTGTGGTCTTCTGCTGCTGTAGCCCATCTGCCTCAAAGTTCGACGTACTGTGCGTTCAGAGATGCTCTTCTGCCCACCTTGGTTGTAACGGGTGGTTATTTGAGTCACTGTTGCCCTTCTATCAGCTCGAACCAGTCTGGCCATTCTCCTCTGACCTCTGGCATCAACAAGGCATTTCCGCCCACAGAACTGCCGCTCACTGGATGTTTTTTCTTTTTCGGACCATTCTCTGTAAACCCTAGAGATGGTTGTGCGTGAAAATCCCAGTAGATTAGCAGTTTCTGAAATACTCAGACCAGCCCTTCTGGCACCAACAATCATGCCACGTTCAAAGTCACTCAAATCACCTTTCTTCCCCATACTGATGCTCGATTTGAACTGCAGGAGATTGTCTTGACCATGTCTACATGCCTAAATGCACTGAGTTGCCGCCATGTGATTGGCTGCTTAGAAATTAAGTGTTAACGAGCAGTTGGACAGGTGTACCTAATAAAGTGGCCGGTGAGTGTATCTCTGAAACACTTTAGTTTATTCTGACCAAATTTGGTGCGTGTTATGACAACTATGACCTGAGGGTTGCTTCGCAGCTTTAGCAAAGTGCCACTTAGTGGTCAGGAGATTTGAAAAATGGCTATTTTTGCTTATAACTTCTAAACGCTTTGTCCAAAAATAACAAAACTGGTCTTTTTAGATTCAGTGCAGCAATTTTCCTATGTCAGCCATTTTAGGCGATGGCCATCATGAATTTTGTCTAAAAATGCTATATTTTACAAACGCTTTGGTGTATCGTTACAAGCTCGCTACGTGTCTTCAGCACCATGTCCTGACAGTTTCGGGGCAGTGCCACCTTGTTGTTAAAAGTTATAATGAAAATACCAAAAATTCCTTTGAATAAATTAGCCTATTGTAATGAAAATGGTCTTGATAGATTCATGCGACAACATGAATACCAATTTTGCCATAGTCAGCCAAACTTCTTGTCCGCCATTTAGATTTTCTTTAAAACCTACTTTTTCAAACTCCTCCTAGTTTGTCCAACTAGGGGTTAAGTGTCTTGCTCAGGGACACATTGGTGTCTCACAGAAGATTCGAACCCAGGTCTCTCACACCCAAGGCATGTGTCTTATCCACTGCGCCATCACCACCCCAATTTTCACCAATATTAAATGGCATTATCTTCAGACTGTTGATTTCATGTCGATAAACAAAACAATTTTCACAATTTTCTGCAGCAAACAAATTCCGGCGTGATGCCAAAATGACTTTGAGAGGCGGTATCTCTGCAATGCTTTCGCATGTGTCATTGTCACCTCACTCTGACCACACATCAATTTGGTCACAGCGCCACCTATTGGTCAAAAGTGATAAACAATCACATTTAATGTTTTAATGAGTTGTTCAAAACTGAGTCAAAATTGCTTAAGTTTATCTCAAAGCATTAAAGTCTGTAAAATCCCTAACTAAAATGGAACTAAACACTCACTAACACACCTGTGCCGGGTAGTCAAACAGCCACTGATCACGTGGCTTGTCTTCATATGCTGCCACAGCTTCAGAGATCTCCTGGCGAACAGTTGAGCGCATGGCCTTCTCTAGAGTACTCAGCCAACACTCAGCCTATTACATTATAGACAGACTAAATGTTTTTCAACTACAACATCTAAAGATGGAGTGTTGTGAATGTGTCATTGTGTCTCACCTGTCCTTCACATACACAGGGTTGTGAGAAGGGCACATATTCTCCCTCTCTACTGTACATTCCCAAGGCAACAGTTGTTTTGGGATCAGTGGCTCCATCATCATCCTCTTTGAAGCGGAGGTCAGCCAGATTGTCAAAAAGCTTCAGCAAGTGTCGTGTCACCTGTGCATTATACACACAAATGCATTACAACACATACTTTTGCAGATAAACACAGAGTGGACTTTTTGCCTTCAATTTGTTAGTATAGCAGCAACCTGTCTAGGCTGAGTTCCCTTAGAAACTATTTCCAGCAAGTCACTAGCAGAGACAAAGTAAAAGCGTGGAAATGTCAAACGCTTTGTCTCCAAATACTCAGCCAGAGCCTTCTCGCACACAGACAATCTGCAATACACAGACATACACAAATAAATTCATGTTTTAAATATAATCTATTATGGTGCAGTATTGAAAGGCATTCGCACAGACAGTGATTTGAGAAAGCGTCCAAAAGTTACCTTTGCTGTAGAGTCTCAAGTTGCTCCAAGAAGCCTGGCTGGTTAGTGACTTTTATCACATTATTGGTCTCCACAACAGTGATCATTAAACCCTGAAACCAGGTTTTGTGTTAATACATTTCTGATCTTGCTGGCAATTAATGCATACTCTGTACTATGGCAAGCCGTTTTAACTTTTATTCATTTCCAGCATATGAATCCTTGATATCAACAATTAAATTTTCACTAGTTAAAATGATAATTATTGATATCAGGAATAATATTTCTACTAGTAACACTGGTGATTTTTGATATCAGGAATTACATTTTCACTAGTAACAATGCTAATTCTTGATATCAACATTTACATTTTCACTAGTTAAAATTATAATTCTTGACATCAACAATTAAATTGCAGCTAGTAAAAAAAAAATAATCCTTGATATCTGTAATTGTATTTTCACTAGTGAAATGTCACCATAGGCTGCCATTCAAAATCAATTATTGATATCAAGAATCCAATTCTTCCAATTCAAGAATCCAAGAATCCAGTTCCAATTTCAAAAATTAAACTGTTGATTTCAAAAATGTAATTATAGATATCAAAAATTGGATTGCTGATATCAACAATTCATATCCTGGAAATAAATGAAAGTTAAAACGTCACAATACCTGGAAGTCCTGGTGGATGCCCTGAAACCGCTCTGCGTCATGGGCCAGCTGGTTCCGGATGTCCTCAGAGTTGGTGAAAATACTTTGGAGGTGAGCCCATGTGCGCTGAACCGCCAACCACGTACCAATGACCAGATCAGCCACCACCAGCTTCCGCTGCCAGCCGCTCACCTCGACTATGAAATACTCCACATACTTACTCATGAGAATATTCTGCAACTGAACCTGAGTATCACACATATACAAAACGAATTGAACTGAATTGACCTGATCTAATCTAATATGAATGGATCATATCCACACCAAACTGAACTGACCTGAACTAAACTGGTGTGGTTGTGGTTCTGAACAGTTCAGTTCTGATCAAACTGAACTGATTTTATTTGGATTTGGACAGATTTGGACTGATCAGAACTAAACTGATCTAGACAAATTAGATCAGCGCAGATTGGTTCGATTATGAGCTGATCTGATCATAACCAAATGAAATTTATCTGATCTAAATGGAATTTGAAATGAACCAAACCAAACTGAACTGAACTTAATTGAAACAATCAATTCAGATCAGATCAAAATAAAACTAAACTGACCAGATTTGAACTGAACTAAAAGATCAGATCAAAATAGAAAACTGGTGTGGTTCTGAACAATTCAGTTCTGATCAAACTGAACTGATTTGGATTTGGACAGATTTGGACTGATCAGAACTAAACTGATCTGAACATGTTATGTTTCAGGATTAGTATGTGAAATATTGATTTAATTATTACCGTCACGTTTGATCAATTTAATGCGTCATTGTTGAATAAAAGTATTAATTTATTTTTAAAAAACTAACTTTTGAACAGTAGCATAGCCTGTACAATAAGCTTTATAATTCCCCTGATATGAGCTGATCTGATCATAACCAAACGAAATTTATCTGATCTAAATGGAATTTGAAATGAACCAAACCAAACTGAACTGAACTTAACTGAATCAATCAATTTAGATCACATCAGAATAAAACTAAACTGATCAGATTTGAACTGAACTAAAAGATCAGATCAAAATAGAACCAAACTGGGACCAGTTGCATAATCATAGCCATTATGTTTAGACAATGTCTTAAGAACCAGTTTGACCAACTAGGAGTCAAATTAGACCAATGTACGTTTTTATGTAACTAACTTTAAAAAGTTAAAAAATTGGATGAATAATTTGTATTAGCATTAGTATTAGCAGTTTATGCAACTCGCCACTGATCTGATCAGAATTGAGACTGATCAACTGTACACTGCTTTTGATCTGATTAGATCAATTTAGTTTGGTTATGATCAAACTAAACTAAACAAAGTGAGGTGAATGTAGATTTAAGCTGAACTGAATGAACCCAGTTGACTGATACAGGAAGTTACCTGGTTGTCCTCCAGGGTTTCAATCAGGTTCTCATTAGCTTTGAGTAGAGGTGTTCCAGTACTTGTGTGCGTCTCATACGACAGAGACATCATGGACCAAGTCTGCTGGATCTCACCCAGAATCTGTACACACAACAGATACATTTAATTGCGCCCTGAAATGCCTCAAAGTTTCTTAGAAATGCTTGAAATCTCTCTACCTTCTCAATTCCCATCTCTTTGACTGCTTTGTCCACAATGTTCTTCACTTCTTCCTCCACACGGTGGAGCTGCAGCTCTAAGAGATCACCAAGTGTGGTGTTCTCATCCATCACAAAACTCACCTACAGGGACAAGAAGAGAGTTTAGTTCCTGTTTCTATTACTCACGTCACATGGTATTTATCACTTAACCGTTATCTATAAGGCATTAATACGTTTTCGATCCTATGGTTATGCTATGCTGGTCTGTGTTTGTTACCCCCGTTGTGTGCATGAGCTGTTGCCAGTGTCTCTCTCTGACAGCAAAGTTTTGAAGTTCATTGACAGCTCTCAGTGATGTCAACAAATTCTTAACAATGGATTCCAGGCCGTTGTAGACGTCCCACGCACGCACATCTTTATCCAGAGTCTTCATCTCCTACATATTCACAGACACTGTTATTCTATGACAATTCATCACAAAGTGATAATAAACATACATAAGGCCACATTTCATTTATGATCTAGATAAATTAAACTTCTGGATAAATATTCAGAGCTTCTGTATTTATTTTTGTATTTGTTTCGCCTCGCCCCAACCACTGGTTCTATTCTCATTTTTTGCACATGGTGAACCTTGAAGACGGACAGAACTTTAGGAAGTAAACTGTACCTTAGCAAACCTTCTGAGCTCCATATCCATCTGTTCCACATTGATCTCCTTCCATGGAGTCTTAGTCCAGTCTGAGATGCAGGACTACATTACCCATCATTCCCAAGAGGATGCCAACCAGAGGAGAATATTGGGTTAACATTTTGAAAAGACTTTAAATGACTTGTGCTGGATGTGTGTGTAATTGGTAACACTTTACAATACGGGTGCACTAATAAGCATTCATGCTTAACAAATGCACAGATAATACTGAATTAATGTGTAACTAATGATTATCTAAGATATTCATTAATGATTCCCACATTAGGAACTAATTAAAAGTCTGTAAGTTTAATGTATTAGTTCATACATTAATTGTTATTAATTAAATATTTAATTCTGGATTAATTCCATAATAACTCATTTTTTAACTAATAGTGCTAATTAATATGTTAATTACCAGAATGAGCCAAAGCCTTGTATTTCAACTTCCAGATAATATGACAGGTACACTAATATGCATTAATACATGATTAATTAATTCATTGTTACTGCAAATTCATGTGCAAATTACTACAATTACTAAATGAGTAGTTAAAAGTGATGTGCCCCAACAAGTAAAGTCATAACGTAAGGATGACTTTGCAAATCATTAGCTAATGATTAATTAAAGCAGACAACTGGAAGTTGAAGTGCATAGCTTTGACTAATTGTGGTAATTAACACATTAATTTAAACGATTAATTAATAAAATATGTTATTAAGGAATTAATACTCAATGACATCTTGAATTAATAGCAATTCATGTATTACTTAATCTATTAATCATATAGACTCTTTATGAGTTGCTGATGCAGTAATCATTAATTAATGGTTTAGTTCTTCATGAGTTATACATTAACTCAATATTATTTGTGCATTAGTTAAGCACGAATTTGTGCTGTAGATCTTGTGTGTAGTAAAGATTACCTTGACAAACATAACCATATCCCAGACTGCTTTAACCAGGATGATGTCTGACCGACACTGCCGAAGTTGTTTGTAGTCAGGGAAACTGACCTCGAACAGATTGGCTGTTTGTTGAAGCTTAGACATCTCACTCTCCAAATGAGCCACCGCACGATTTGTCTACACAGAAATGCAGATCAACAAAGAAATTAATACAAGCACATTTAAAGAAATAGAATGTATAACATTATATATATATTTTTAATGAGCAAGCTCCATCTGGGCTAGAACAAACATTTCAGCAGAAAAATACAACCTATTTAAAACATACACATACACACTCAGAATATATATATATATATATTTTTTTTTTTTTTTTTGTGAGAGCACCTTGTCGATGAGTTTGTATGGGTCCTCCAGGCTGATAAAGAATATGGGCTCAGTGCGGAATTGTTCCCTGAATTCATGCTGTTTAACCTAGAAAACAAACCATAAATGCTCAACCACATCTCCACCCATCTATATTCAAAACTTCTCAACAATAAAGATTTTTCTGCTGTCTTGGACAAAAACTATTTACTGGTCCCACCACAAAAATAATACTTATGTCACGATCACCAGTTGGAGTGCCCGTGTATTTATAGCCACCAGAGGGCAGTCCACCCCAGATAATTGTCATTCCCTCACAAACTACATTTCCCAGAGCTCACTGCCCGATCTCATCATCCCTGATTATAATCAGCTGTGTCTCATTATCTCAGTCTTAAAAGTCACGTATCTCTCAGTGTAGGCTTATACAACACCATTTTCTACTATGTTTTGGCCAGTCGTTTACACAACAATGCCGTTTTGGGTGCCTGAAAACGCAAAACTTTTCAAAATGGTCTCTGTAAACAAAAACGCATGTTTTTGGAATACTTAAAGGAAAAAACTTTTCCAGTTTAAGCATATCGTTGTCGTGTAAACGTATCCTCAGTCACTCTTTGCGAAGTCTCAGCACCGCATTTCTGAGCGATCTGTCTTTGGTTTCTCAAGTTCGTGGTTTTTAAATTTTCTGCCTGGTTCCTTTGGATTTCTCTGTTTTGCCTTTGCCCTGGACTGTTATTGTTTGGACTGTTTGCCTGTTTTTTGGATTACGTTTTTAGGTTACCCTAAAATAAACTACTGCATTTGGATCCTTGCGTCTTCGAGCAGTTCATGACAACTTAAAAAAAAAAAAAAGTTAAATTATCCCTTTGACTTAGTAACAAATCTAAATCAATAGAATTTGCAAAGTGTTATACATTACAGAAATCCAAATGTGTCACCAAAACAGATCTAATTAATGCAAGCTTAAAAAGCTGATGACAGTTTTTTCAGCCCCTCACCTCAAACCGAACACACTTCCTGCGGATGACAGCAACTTCATTGGACTGGAGAGGAGCAACCTCATGTTTTACTGTAAATGCCACCTTCTTAAGATTCTTCCATTTCTCCGGCAGGGACTGTGAAAACACATGGGCATGTGAGGTGGTAGTGTGTCTAGTAAAGCAGCAGAATCAGATGCATGTAGGTGACGTTACCTCCAACAGTATGTAAACATGCTCAGGAAGCTGCTGGTTGTAGGTTTTGAGCAGGTTCGAGGTAGCTTTGAGAGGTTTGAAATGCTGCTCTGTACTCCCCTGGCGGTCTCTGATGGCCATCAAGTGGCCCATGATGTCCACCAGTTTGCTATAATCCCCATCGGTTACAGTCTTTGCTAACCCAATCTCTGTATTCTCAATAAATGATCCTAACTCTTGCACACTGAGACAGAGAAAGATGTGATTGGTCACTCCATCATTATAATTGTTGTAGCTGAAACATTTATAATGTACGGAGACTTACATTGATTTATTGGGTAGGTTCTTATGGGAAAAAAGTGAATTTTTAAATAAATATTACCTGGCATTAACATGGTTCAGTAAGTGTTCCTTAAACATCCAGCTCCATTTTTTAATGATGTTCATCAGCGATATTTTAAAAGGTTTTATGTCCACCTGACACCAGCCATAGAATACTCTCTTCTCCTCTAATACGCGCACCTTCTCGTAAAGTTCCTCAAACTCACTGATCTAATGAGAAACAAGTAAGAGAGAAAGTAAAAGGAAAGTATAGTAGATCCATACATTAGGTATTACGGTATTTTCCCATTTCCGCCAAGATAATTGAAAGATAAAGTCTTGTTTTATTACTGTGAGGTATAAAGTTTCAGTTGTGAGATAGTCAAACTGCGAATAAAATAGCATTAACGAGAAATATTTATATTTTTTGGGAATTTTCGAAAAGTCACAATTACTGATATTTTTAACCTAAAAGAGAAGGCTTCTATAATTATATCATGTTTTTAAAATAACACAACATTTTCTGTATTTTAATCCTCACTCCATGACTGATAGATACCTGCTCTCTGAAGTTCTGCAGTTTGGGTGGATTCTTGGGCAGTTCATAATCTGCATAAAGCTCCGCCTCCTCTGCAGTGAGGGCGTGTCCATAAAGCAGAAACTGCCTCATAAACTCCACCCTGTCTCCAGTCCAGAGGTAACGATAGGAATCGAAGGAGTGTTGGAATTCTTTGACCTTAGCAATGGCCCCACGTGCACGGTGTCGCACCAGCTGAGCTAACTCCACTAGCTCAGGTATCTGATCTACATCCGCCTAGGGAATAACAGACATAGTCAGACTCGTCGTGTTGTAAAGAATAGTTATAAATCTTTCCGGAAAGCACAACTCATTTAGAACAGATGGCAGGCTTGCATGAGAAAAAATAAATTTCCAATCGTTCTCTTGTGTTAGCTTTAAGCTAAACCATTAAGCTAACATTATCTATAGTTCATTCACTGTAAGACATGCATACCGATATACACAGTTGTTACACACCTTGTAAGTCTCAGATTGTTTGCTCTTGGCCACTCTTTTCATGAAAGAAGCCATTTTAAAAATATCTGACAACATCTGGTCAATGATATCATAGAAGTTGCCCTTCTTGGAGAGGTTGAGCGAGGGGTAAAAGGTCATGTCAGAGGTCAAGGTCAGCTGAACTTCGAACAGAGGATCGATGTGGAGCGCCGGGTCCGTGTTCTCAACTAAGTACTGCAGGGAACATCGCACAGCACTGCAGAACCCAGTAAGAATGTTTCTGTCCACATGTTCTGTGTAGGACTGCCAAGCATCTGATTCCAAGTCAGCACCAAGCAGCTCAGCATTCTCCTGAACGAGAAAGAAATCACATGAGAATCCACTAGAAATATGAACTACAATTGTGAAAAATAATAAATAAATACAATTTTAGAAAATATTAAAAAATAAAATAAATATGATTTTTGTGAAGACAAAAAACATAAGTGTTAAATGAAAATACAATATAATATTAAGTTACATTGAAGTAAAGCCAAAGTAAAAATTAATTAGGTAAAATAAAAATGTACAAGTATATGACTGCACATCAATAATGATTATTTTAATGGAAAATAGAACATAGAAATAGAACAAGAAAATATTTCTTAAATATATACAAGCATGTGTGTGTATTTATGTATATAAAATAATTATACACAGTGCACCCACAGGTATTATGTAAACACAAGCTTTTATTTTGGAATGCGATTAATCACGATTAATCGTTTGACAGCCCTAGTTAAGAGCGATTATAAAATGAAAAAATAAACTGCGGAACATGCTTGATGTGAAACAGAGTTATCAAGAGCGATATTTTTACTTTTGAATACTCAATCTCTGTGGTATTTCTTACGTGAATGCTACCGTTAGACCTACAGTACCTGAAAAACCTCGCACTTTTAATTTCATTTTGTATATTTTTTAGTGTCCGACAAACGCCGATTCAAAATCCCAACAGATGTAGCCTATGCTACTAATCTGACAACACCCGACAAATGTGTCTGTTTCCATTGAACGCCGTCAGTCGGTGAAGTGAAATGGCCGTTATACTGTATTTGTCCTGTTGTTTGTTATTGTGGTAGCAAATGTATGTTATTTTAGGCAATGTGTAACAGGGTTCCTGCTCCATCTCTATCATTATCAATCAAGGCTTCAGAACTTTCATTGTGTTGAATCAAACAGTGAAACCAACACCTGCATAAGCTCATGTATCTTCTCTCCCGTGCGAGAGACGAGAGCGTACTGCCGCTTGAAGTTCTCCTCTACGTCTGTGAGGTTGAGTAGATTGCCACGACGATTAGTCCTGCGCGTAATGCAGGCCGAGTGACTGAAAACTCCCATCAGCCCCTGTAGTTTCTCCAAGTTAGCCTTGCTCTTCTGCACACGCTCCGACACACCACGCACCAGATCACGTGTGCTACAAGCACGCACAAGAGTACTTGTTAACATAATCACCTTTACATAATAGACCAGTTATATTACATTAATTGTTGAGAATATTTCAGTTACCTAGAAGATAACAGGGAACATTCTCAGAACAAGCTAACGTTTTGGCAAGGTTCTCTCAAAGTTATGAAAAACATTCTTCCAGTAATTTCAATAGAACATTCATTCAGAGTTATATGGTATTTAATAATGTTCTTAAAATGAGTCCATACCTTAAATTCATTGAAAACCTTTGGGATTTGCTGGAGAAGACTTTACAGAGTGCTGGACTCTTGCATTTTCAAGATCTTAACCAAAAATTTACATTTTTAGTCAAGATCTTGTATTGACAATGTATGTAAAGTCTCCTCCAGCACATCCCAAAGACTCAATGAATTTAAGATCTTTACTCAGAGGTGCCAATTCACGTGTGAAGATGACTCTTCATGCTCCCTCCCAACCATTCTTCACAATTTGAGCCTGATGAATCTTGACATTGTCATCCAGGAATATGGACATATGCGTGTCTTTATAGTTGTTTAAGAAATGAAAAGCTACACACCCCATCAATTAGGGTTATAAGAACCGTTGCCAAACATATAACAATGCTAGAAACTGCAATAATGATCCAATCATGGACTCTTAAGCATTAGCATATTTAATTTTTGTTAGTTGTCTACCTCTTGATGTAGTCAACGAGCTGCTCGTCACTCCATCGCAGTTCCTTTAACGCTGGCATTAAGGTACACCTCACTTCCTCCAGCTCAGACTCTACCAAACGCAGCTCAACAGCCAGGATCGTGCTATGCAGTTTATTATACCACTGAGTGATCTGGAACAGAGTACTGGTGTACTAAACATGCACATAGAGAGAGAGAGACAAAAGAAGTTTTAAAGAACTGAATAAACAGAGCTATTTTCTTGGCAAATATAAAGGCACAGATGGCCACACAGTCTCACCATGTGAAGCATTTCCCATTTAGAGTACAGACTCACAGCGGCCTTGGGAATGTTGTGGTTCTTCAGAATTCCAAGATACTTAACTTCCCTCAAAACAGATGTCAACTAAAACAACCACATCACACAGCAGTAAACATGGAGAAATCATTGTTTGTGAGCTTTACTTTGGGGGACAAAACATTTGCGTGACAAAAAGTTAGTTAAATCTTAAACAAACTCACTAAATAATTTAGGAACATTCTACAATAACAAATAGTTCATAAAAGGTACTAAATGAATTTAATGAATAAGCAACTATAAAATGATTGATATTAGCTTCTTTTGTTTTTTAATGTGAAGTGGGTGAACGCAGACAGGGCCATTACATTGCAATTGTATCTTTAACTTAAGATGCAATATTGCCAGTTACTTTGTGTATTTTTGCTCCACCAATGAAAATAGTTTTAAACTAAAATCTGGCTAGGTGCCTAAAGGGTTAAATCATCCAAAATGTAAATTCTGTCATCATTTACTCACCCACTTGTTGTTTCAAACTCAAAATTATTTAATCTTCCAAACCTGGTCATCTTTAATAATGTAAATCCTAAATTCAATCTGTTAAAACTAAAAATTTTGGGGGCATGGACTTTTAATGGAGGGATAGAAATCTCTCAGGTTAAAAAAATAATAATAATGTGTTTTGAAGATGAACGAAAGCCTTCTGAGTTTGGGATGACATGAGGGTGAGTAACTGATGCTGGCAATTCTCTTATTTTTGAGTAGTTATGTCAAATCGATTAATCAGGACTAATCGCATCTAACATAAAACTTTGTGTTTGCATAATATATGTGTTTGTATATCTTATTATATTTATATACATATTTCTGTGTGTATTTATATATATATATGTATATAATGTATATAATATAATATATATTCACACATATCATAAAAATTAACTTTTGTTATATAAACAAAATCACTAGATGCAATTAATCGATCTGACAGCACTATTTTTGAGTGAACTAACCCTTTAAAGTTGTGATCTTTCAGTTTTAATTAAAAAAAAATACATGGATGAATCATTCACAATTATATCTATAACATGCATTTAGAACATAGATGAATTTTCATTGCATTCCGACTTTGATGGTGCAGTTAAAAGCAAACAGCAGCCAGTCTTACTTATCCAAATTTAAGAACAATAGAAGTAAGAGGAAAATCTGTGACGTGAGTTCATGAATGTTTCTTACAGCAGGGTTAAAGTTCAAGCAGTAAAAGCTGCTCTCCTCATCCAATATGAGCAGTGGTTCATTCAGATGTGTGTGGCACAACTCATCTAAATCAACACTCCAATTAGTGTAGACTTCTTCATCCATTTGATCCAGAACCTCCAATACACACTCACACACCTGCAACACCTGTTGTGCCTCAGGACTGTCTAATGGTCTAACACACACACAAAGAGTTTGGCATAAGTTACATTCTTAAATATGGCACCAGAAGTCAATGAATGTGTATTTGTGTGAGTGTTGTACATGTGTGATGGGTTCTTGTTTACATATGTGTAAGCTGGCTGAGGTTACTGCGGTTTGACAGGATCCGTTCTCTGAGTTCTTGAGACCATTTCAGGTTACCAGCAACGGCTGGCATGTTTTTACCAAGGACAGGACAGCCGTTCCTCAGCTGCACAGAAACACAAACAACAGCGCAAACATGAGCGAGTATGCTTTTATCCAAAGAAACTTTAAGTAAAGAGCTGTTAATAATCATATTTATGCAGTGTTAGAATGTTACCGCTAGATGCTTAACAACCGTCGGCCAATTACATACATATACAGCAGTACATATTCATGTACAGTGGTGTTTTGTTTGAGTTATAATAAATATATCATTTTGGATTACGTCTTTCGTTGTCGATCTTTTATGTTGTGGTCCCGGAATCCTAGACCCATATTTTGTGGGACCGTAACATGAATGAATCAGTTATTTTAAATGAATGATGATTCAATGACTCACTCATAAAGAGAAGACATATCTTTGCAGCAGTATGTGGCCACAAATGACTAACACCTATAGAGAGAGTAACAGAACAATCCTGACCACGCCAGAACATGAGCATCCAGTCCATATCAAGGCTGCATCCGAAATCGAAATACTTCCCTACTATATAATAGATGAAAAACAGTATGTTTTCCATCATTTCCGTCATCCATCATGCCTTGTTACCACTGTGCAGGCTGGTGGTGGTGTAAGGAATGTTTTCTTGGCACACTTTAGGCCCCTTAGTGCCAATTGGGCATTGTTTAAATGCCATGGCCTACCTGAACATTGTTTCTGACCATGTCCATCCTCTGATGGCTACTTCCAGCAGGATAATGCACCATGTCACAAAGCTCGAATAATTCCAAATTGGTTTCTTGAACATGGCAATGAGTTCGCTGTACTAAAATGGCCCCCACAGTCACCAGATCTCAACCCAATAGAGCATCTTTGGGATGTGGTGGAAGGGGAGCTTCGTGCCCTGGATGTTCATCCCACAAATCTACATCAACTGCAAGGTGCTATCCTATCAATATGGGCCAACATTTCTAAAGAATGCTTTCTGCACCTTGTTGAATCAATGCCACGTAGAATTAAGGCAGTTCTGAAGGCGAAAGTGGGTCAAACACAGTATTAGTATGGTGTTCCTAATAATCCTTTAGGTGAGTGTATAAAGTTATAGTGTGATAAGATGTTTCTTATTATTGTATAATAAATTATTTCATACATCTATTTGGAAAATGACCAACTTTTGATTGGGTGGGCCAACATTTAAAATGAGTGTTCCCACCCTTAGGCAGGGCTTGGAAAACTAGCTCAATTGATAAACAATTAACTTTCATTCTTCTTTTTATATCATACATGTGTGTGTATTAGATTTAATTGAAGTCATTAAAACTGAACCTACATTATAAAAGTGACCCAAGATCAGTTAAAACCAGTTAAAACTATTGACTCGTTCATGGTCTAGAGGCGAACCATTGGAAAGCTCTCTGAACCCCTGATTTAAAAAAAAAAGATTCATAAAGCTTTCGAAGCTTCATGAAGAAATTTTTCAAAAGTGCCAATCGCTACTAAAACTCATTTGTTAAAATTCTCCCAAATTTCATTCTGAAATGATGTCATTCAAACCTTCTCTCTGTGGGTTTCCACCATGTGCTGACAGAGGTTGACCTCCACTTGGAACATGACCAGCAGCTGAGAGTAGTTTGGAGCAAAAAGCTGGTGAACCCTCGGCCTCTCCAACAGAGAACCAAAGATCTGTAGGAGCTACACACACAGGTTTTCACTGATAGTGACTAAAAGAGAGCATTTTTCCAAACACACTTAAATGATTAAACAGTTAAATCTTGTGTTTGTGTTTGGCAGACTGCATGCAAGTCTGTTTCTTCATTACTGAGCCACTGTGTGTATGTGTGTTACCTTAAAAGCAGACTCTAAGCCTGGGGAGTGTTGGAAGGCCAAGTTTATTACTGTTCCCAGCCTCTGGTCAAAATCTCTGTTCTGTTCCATGAATCGATTATAGTCGCGCACAAACTCCTAGAAAACACAGGGGAGAGTGTGATTGTACACATATGTATATGAATATGAACACATACACTATTGTTCAAAAGTTTAAGGTCAGTTAGATTATTTAATTTTCTTTTTTTTCTTTAAGGAATTGGTACTTTTATTCAGCAAGGATGCATTGAAAATGAATATTTCAAATAAATGCTGAATTCTTTTGAATTTTCTATTAATTAAAGAATCCTGGATGTATCATAGGGCATGGTTTCAACAAACAAAAATATTAAGCAGCACAATTGTTTTGAACACTGATAATAATGAAAAAAAAGTTTCTTGAGCATCAAATCAGCATATAAGAATGTTTTCTGAAGGATCATGTGACACTGAAGACTTGAGTAATGATGCTGAAAATTCACCTTTGCCTATTCAGCTATTTACTCCTGTGAATATTATATTTGAAATTACATTTAAAAATTTAAATAATTATAAATATAATAAGTATAAAAAATAAAAATAATAATTATAAAAATAATAATAATTTAAAAATTTACATTTAAATAAATTACACTTTAAAATATATTATTAAAGCTAAACTGTGTGATTTTTACCCCCATCTAGCAGTGAAAAGGTATATGACCATCCAGTGAATATTAGTTTCTGTTCCTCTCAATTCTGATTTCGTTTTAACTCCTACGGTGGCCAATGTAGTCCAAGATTAACATGGCTTCCAGTTCGACCTCGTCCATGAGTGTTAACTCAAACGTAGACGCAAAAGGCGAAGCTTGAATTAACGGGTATGTCCCTCTTTGGCTAATTTACTTTCAAGATGGAGGGGCAACATGACGACCGACATTAGAACCCCTTACCCGTATGTATTTTCAATGGCATATTATACACTCACGAGAATACTTTATTACTTGATCGAAGTAAATATACATTAATGAGCACATATATTTTTGAAAGAACTAAGCGTTTTAGATAAGAATAAACTAAGTGTAGCTTTAAAATAGAGAACAGGTCTTTTAAATTGTAATAATATTTCACAAAATTATGTACCTTGTTGTTGTAGTCAAGAGGATCATATTTGCTCTCTCTCAAAGTTCTCCAGCTGTCCATGAACTCGTCATTCATGCTGTACACCATATCACTGAGAATCTTTCCTCTAGAGCCGCCCAGCTCAATCCGTTCCAGCTTTAGAAAGTCCAGAGCTGAGGCAAACAATTCCTGAATGATATATACAGAATTAATTAAAAAAAAAAAGATTAAAAGTAGCTAACATCAAGATTTTTTCTAAGTGTAATAATGGTCTAATCACTGACTTTACCACATCTGATACAACCAAAAACCTAAATGGTATGCACTAAAAAAGAAAAGCCAAGAGTAAATATTTTGTCCTGGTATTGCCAAAGGGGAAAACAATGGCTTAACCTCTAAATATTATAACACAAGATCATCACAAAACAATATTACAACCTGTGGGAAGGAGTACATAGAAATGTTTACATTTTTTACAATCTTGTCATGCATGTTTCTTTGGCAAACATTTGGATTATTTTTCTGCAACCATCAAGATCAGAAGAATATATACAGAGCTTTTTTTCAGTGTGGATGGATTGACACCTCAATCATGCGCAGTCTCTCCATGATGCAGTCAGTGCGGTGAAACACAAGCTCAGAGGGAAAGTCCCAAGGTTTGACCGCAAGTCCTGGACGGCCATATGGTCCAGTGGGTGTCAGTTTGTCTCTGTGCTGCTGGAAACTCCGCTTGAATGTCCAAAACACCTGGATCGCCTTCCGAACCCGGTCCATTCCCTCCTCTAACTCCATTTTGAAGAGCTCCTCAGGAATTAGATACACAGACGCCTGCACAAACACACATTATATAAACGCCACATCATACAAAAATAGTCTAGATAAAAGGATAATAAGAATTCACATTAGCAAAAAAACACACCTTGTCAATGAGTAGGTTGCAGAACTCTGTGAGTAGCGTGACGATACGTGGTGGGTGGCAGTAGAAGTGAGAGTGTGTCCAGATGAGAGCAAGTGTGTGAAACAGAGCGGGAATCAGAGGCTCCAGATCAGTGAAGCTCCGCTCCTCGAACGCAGCTATGGGCCGCCGTAAGGTCCTCAAGTGTAGGTCTATGTCTTCTGCCTCCATCACCGCTAGAAAAAAAAAATGAGTAGACAGTAGCTTTGAGGGTCCAATGTGGGATTTGAACCTACAAGCTTTCACTTATCAGCCTAGGTTTGAACTACAAGACTACACTACATTATGCAAATACTAACAATTACATTAAAACCAAGTTGAATTAGAGTGTCTGATTACCATGGTTGACTTTTTGAATAATGCCATAAAAGGAATCATAGTAACTGCTCTTGATCCTCAGCAGAATTTCCAGCACCTGATCAACTTTTGGGTTCTGCAGCTGCACAAATAAACCAGAGTTGGAGACTATTTAAATTCAGTCAATTTTTACGTTAAAATATAGATAAAATAAGCTTGAAATAAAGGACAATTTATTCTGATTTCCAAAAGGAAATATTAGTAGTCGCATGGGAGAAAATAAATAGTGTATATTTGTGGTAAACTTTAGTTTGTGAAGTTTATGAGAAGTTAATTGTGAAGAGAGAGACTGATATTTGATTAAAGGGATACTCCACTTTTTTTGGAAATAGGCTCATTTTACCACTCCCCCAGAGTTAAACTGTTGAGTTTTACCGTTTTCGAATCCATTCAGCCGATTTTCTCATATTGAGAAGAATATCAGTAACCAGACAGTTTCTGGTCTCATTGACTTCCATAGTATATATTTTTTCCTACTATGGAAGTCAATGAGACCAGAAACTGTCTGGTTACTGATATTCTTCCATATATCTTAAAATAAGCTGAATGGATTCAAAAACGGTGAAATTCAACTGTTTAACTCTAGGGGAGTTGTAAAATCAGCCTATTTCCAAAAAAAAAAGTGGAGTATCCCTTTAAAGCCAATCACAATTAATGTAAATGTTAGAAAGAGATTGCAAATATTACATACAATCACTGGCGTTGTTTCACGTTTTGAACACAGACCATTCATCTCCAATTTTAATATATTAATCTAGTTTCTGCACCACTATAGCATCACCAAACAGGTTTCCTGGTAACATGCAATACATTTCTACAATGACAACGGTAACTTGTTTTTTTTTACTATTTGTATCAGTAGATTTCCAAGATGAAAAAAAAAAAAAGAAATGAGATGGGCTGAAATAACGAATTAAAAATATTTTTGTCCTGCAAGCACCACAATAAAAGGTCTTAAGACATCAGCACATTTAAAATTAAAAAGCATACACAGAAATTGACTTAATTTCCACCTGTTTCTGGATCCCTAATAAGTTTTCTTTCTGTTTAGTCCAGAAACTGAGCTCCACTGTGGGGCCTGGGTGGTCCCCCTGGTGCAGGAGCTTAGACGAGTCCCGCTGCAGCACAGAGCCCATCAGTCCACACCACTGGATCACCATGGTCTCAATGGAGTACAATAACGCCCTGTCAATCAGACAGAAATCCGATCTACACAGAAACAGATATGTTACCTGACATCACAAACTTAGTAAATGTTTGAAAAAGATAATTGAACGATTGACAGGCACACGCTCACACCTGAGCTGGTGCTCATCTTTTCTCTCCACACAGAGCGGCAGGGGCAGTAGAGTTCGTCCTTGTGATCGCCCTCTCAGTGTGACTGCTTCACTGCACAGATGCTCAAGGTGCCTGCAGATGTCCTGACCGACCACCCGGGGCCAGGCGGACTGATTAAGTGGACTTCCCAGCACTGAGACGAACACCTACACAAACATACACTCACTGACTGTGGTTTTTTTAATTCACACCTGCTCTCAGAGCCAATAAGAGTTATGATTTCACTTCTGTTCAACTTTTGCATAGGATGGCCAACCTCCAATCAACTAAAACTATTAGGGATGGACCAATATGAAAATTTTGTCCGATACCGATATTCTTTTATATGTCAAAGCCGAAAATATTGGCTGACAAATCTAAACCTATATAATTTTTGAGAGCCATCCTAAGTGTCTCGGCTGAAGGAAATAATCCATAATTTATATGTTATAGTGCGTACATGTGGGCAGCTCCTGTAGCAGCGGGGGTGGTAGCTATGGTAGCGAAGGAGACTGACAGTCGCCCAGCCAATCATTGCAATAAATAGCTTTGTTTATTGCAGCCCTAAGAGGACTACAGACATTCAATTTTATGCTCTTCTTTTCAGAGTTGCTCACATTTTAAAAATGTACTGGTATATGAAGACAGTTTAAACAAATTTGGGGGAAATTTGTTAACCCATGCCTTTAAGTGAAATAAAATAAAATATAAATATTAGATAAAAAACAAATTAAAAACCTAAATGAAAATGAGAAATAAGCTAAAGTCGAAGTACTAAATTTATAAAATTGCCATAAAAATATTATTGAAAATGAACAGGCACTTTAAAAAAAATTAATGAAAAATTTAAAATGAAAAATTAAAACTAACTCAAAATATTAATAGTCTATGACACTATTTAAATAAAGCTAAAATTACACAGCCTCCAATCCAAGTAATATTGCCTAAGAGTCACAAAGTCAAGTCAAAGCAACTAGAAAGCAGACATTTAGCAGACAGTTCAATACGTTAAGCTTAAACAAATATCTAAGGAAAGTCTAATTCTAAAGTGCTACATTATTTTATCCTGTCAGAGTAAACTGATATATATATACACACTTTTAAATAGATAAGCAAGTGAATTCTGTATAATATACTATAATATAATTTTATTATATATTAAAAATGAATAATTTTCCATTCTATTCTAAAAGGCGCAGCAGGACTGGAAGATTTCTGGTTACCTGAGAGAAGAGCACAGGAGCGTGGTCCATGGGTTGTGCTGCAACCTCTCCAAGCCAGAGCTGGGTTCTAAAGGTGGTTTTGGAGATGACACCCTTCTTTTTTTTAAGAACACACAAAAGCTTGGTCCTCCAGGGAGAGGAGCTCTTTTGGGGGGAAAAGACGGGTGTAGTGCTTTCAGAAGCGAAAGCACTCGAAACAAGTGATGACTTATTTCGAATACCAAAAGCCAATCAGTGCATTGAACACGGGAGACACTTCCAGTAGAAATGCTACATGGCATTCTAACACAGCAAGAACACAGCAAAACAGACCTGGGAATTTTGCTGTTAGTTCCAACATTTAAGATGAGTGTGTATGTGTGTATTTGATAAGGGTTGAGCGGGGCACCACCTAACTTGGGGCTAGTTGTAAGTAACACACTTGTTTTAAATACTTCCACACATGCTAGCATGATGAAACAAGTGTATTTACTAGTTTCCATATCAACACTATATAGATAAAAAGAATTTCAGAAATCTTTGGAAGATCACTGAACATTTAACCATAGCAAAAGTACATTGATTAATTATTTTAAAAAATCGTATCTCTGTTATAACACTGTGTTACAATGTGCTCCTATTAGAACTATGCTATTCAGTGATGTTAGCGATATAATTCACATTAATAACTTTTATGAATTCTATTGAGAGACCATAAAAAGAGGTAAATAAAGACTGAGAATCACTGTTCAGAAATGATTAATTATTATTATGTTTTGTGTTTCCCAGTGTGTCCGTTGTCAAACTCAAAATGTGTTTATTTCTTATTATTGAAAAATGGCATTATTTTATATGAAAAAGTTAACAATTGTATTTTATTGAGAATATAATAGTTTGTCTTGTATATTTTTCAGATTAGATCAGAAACATTTTAAGTAGGGCTGTCAAACGATTAATCGCGATTAATCGCATCCAAAATAAAAGTTTGTGTTTACATAATATATGTGGGTGCACTGTGTATAATTATATATATATATATATATATATATATACACACACACACATGCATGTATATATTTAAGAAATATTTTTGTGTATACTGTATATATATTTACATATAATATGTAGATATTTTATACATAAATTATATATTTTTTCTTAAATATACATTCATATATATACAAAATAATTATACACAGTGTACCCACATATATTATGTAAACACAAACTTTTATTTTGGATGTGATTAATTGCGATTAATCGTTTGACAGCCCTAATTTTAAGCTGTCATATGGTCATGTTACAATGTGCCCCTTACATGTTCACTTCCATTCTTTCAGGGTAAAAAAAAGAAAAAAGTATACACTGTATTAATGAAACAAAACCACACAATTGTATTAATGTGGGTAAAAATAAATACTGACACTGAGTAGGTTTACACAAACTGAGAAAGTCAAAGAGCGTTATGTTGTGCCCCGCGCTCCCCTACTCACCTGTTCATCTCCTGTATGAAGAGTTCCTCCTGGTCCCACAAACAAAAGGAGATACTCTCGCCAGCCCTGGTCCAGGAAGTCAAGCAGAGCCCTCTGATTCTCCTCCAATCCAATAAAACGGTTCCATTTGTCTGTTTTGAGGCGTAGAACGGTAAAGGCCTGTTCCCTCATGAAGTCCACTCTCTCATCAGAGATGGCGCTCATCTTCACCTGGTCCATAGGAACTGGCCTCAGCCATACTAAGACACAAAATAAAAGAGGGGAGCTACTAAGTCCAGGGTAAATTATCCATTTAAATCTACCAACCTAAGACTATCCTATTGTGGTATAGCTTACCTCTAGCAGACTACGATCAGTTTTCTTAGTCTGAGCCAGCTGTTTTTATATCATTAGTAAGCTATTTCAATCACAAAAATGGATGATGTTCCACACACTGGGTCGTCCTTTGCCTTCTTCTCAAGTGGGGGAAAGAAACTGAACTCCTCCTGTTGAGCCAGGCCACTGTGTTAACAGGGTCAATGCCTTTTGTGTTTCTGTATCCCCGTTGTGAGAGAGAAGCACACACCTGGTACTAATGAAACCCGAGTGCGCATTGGAAAAGCCAGCAAGGGTATCAGGTGTATATTTGCATAAACACTCTGTATAACCTGATACATACACATCCAACTGGATAATTTGAGCTGATCTGATGCACCGTCATTCACGTAATGGGCCTACACATGTACTGTATACTGATTCATATATAGTTCTGAAGCATTCAGTAAAGAAATTAAGCTACAGGAAGTTCAGGAACTTAAATCTACCGCATCATGTGGTACTCAGAATCACACCTTTAAAATGAAGTGATTTGCTGTCACTGACTATTAGTAGCACACTGGCCTCTACTGACGCCAATGTTTAAATGTTTGCAAAAGTGTTCTATGAAGAACTGAAGTTTTAGTCCAGCACATAGGTGGCAGTAATTGGACATAGGCCTATTCATAACCAGGGATCAAATTGTAAAAACAAAAACAAATAGTAGGCTATATACACTACCGTCAAAAGTTTTAGATCGGTAAGATTTTTTATGTTTTTAAAATAAGTCTCTTCTGCTCACCAAGGCTGCAATTATTTGATAAAAAACAGTTTACAGTAATATTGTGAAATATTATTACAATTTAAAAAAGCAGTTTTCTATGTGAATATATAGTGACGTGTAATTTATTCCTGTGATCAAACTGGTGAATTTACAGCATCATTACTCCTGTCTTCAGTGTCACATGATCCTACAGAAATTATTATAATATGATCCTCAAGAAACATTTATTATTATCCATGTTGAAAATAGTTTTTTTAGATTTTTATTTCAGGATTCTTTGATGATTAGAAAGTTCAAAAGAACAGAAATGATCTGAAATGGAAAGCTTTTGTAACATTAATCACTACCATTCAATAGTTTGGGGTCAGTAAGAATTTATTTTTTTTATTTTTGGGGGAAAGAAATTAGAAAATACTTTTATTCTTCAAGGATGAGTTAAACTGAGTTAAAGTAAAGACATTTATAATGTTAGAAAAGATTATATTTTAAATAAATGCTGTTCTTTTGAACTTTCTATATTCATCATAGAATTTTTTGGGGGAAAAATGGTACACGACTGTTTTCAACATTGAAAATAATAATTTATGTTTTTTGAGCATAAAATCAGCATATTAGAATGATATCTGAAGGATCATGTGACACTGAAAACTGATGTGTAATCAGCAACAGTAATGATGTTGAAAATTCAGCTTTCAAATTACATTTTAAAATGTATTAAAATAGAAGACAGTCATTTTAAATTATCATAATATTTCACAATATTACTGTTTGTCATTTTTTTGTCATCAAATAAAGCAGCCGCTTGGTGAGCAAAAGAGACTTCATTTAAAAACATAAAAAAAATCTTACTGATCTAAAACTTTTGACCAGTAGTGTATATATCATATATACACGGTATTAATGAAACAAAACCCCACCATTGTATTCATGCGAGTAAAATTAAATACTGACACAAAGTTAGAAAGTCAAAGAGCGTTATGTTGTACCCCGCGCTCCCCTACTCACCTGTTCATCTCCTGTATGAAGAGTTCCACCTGGTCCCACAAACCGCCAGCCCTGGTCCAGGAAGTCAAGCAGAGCCCTCTGATTCTCCTTCAATCCAATAAAACGGTTCCATTTGTCTGTATTGAGACGTAGAACGGTGAAGGCCTGTTCCCTCAAGAAGTCCACTCTCTCATCAGAGATGGCGCTCATCTTCACCTGGTCCATATTTGAACACGTACACCGGCCTCAGCCATACTGAGTTTACCCACAGTCGGTGATTGAATGATTAATTTATGAATTTGACTTATTCTAGAGCATTAATTAAACTCAAAGTAGCAAACAACTCATAGCGAGTTGACAAAAACTCCAGATTCTCAGATTAAATGTGCTGTAGACTGAGCTCAACCTATTTGAGCTCTTATTTGTGTGGGATTAAACACCGGGTTTACCTCTTGAGGGGACCTTCATACACCAGAAATATCTACATTCACCCAATGATCTTAATCACAAAGGCACACATTTTAAACAGCGGTATCCTCACGATGTTCAATTCAGTAAATAACAGTAAAAAGTTTTAGGTTTCAAACTGATCCCATTATGCAAGTGTCTCAAAAACGTCAATGTAATATTACTTGTTGTGGGACATTCATAAAGACTGGAAACGTCAGATCAAGTTGGACACATTGCATTGTGGGATACACTAGCAGTGTTGTATAATGAATGGTGTACCGAATATCCAGGTGCATTCCATAATCCACACACTGCACATTATTAAGTATACATACATATTAAATATGGGCATAAGGTTAATTCTCATTCAGTACATACATACCAACACCAAAGCATATACAAACTTGTAGTTATGAAGAGTCATAGGAAGTTTTTTTACTTTAATTGTTTTCCATTTGAAAAAAAAAAAAAGTTGTACAAAAGTAACATCAAATTTTACACGTTTAAAAAGTAATCAAAACGAGGTGCCTTTAATACAACAGAATCAGTATTAGACTACATTAATTGTGGCTATAAACAGCTTGGGGCTGAGGAAAACAAAAACAAAAAAAGAAAAGAAATGGAAGATACATTATGAATGTTACAGGAATAATCTGGAGAGCAATAAGAACAACGATACAAGAAAAAGAAAGTTTATTACACGATTGTTTGACTCTGCCACCTGATGTCTTGTTCGAGTTGCATGTGGGCAGCAGAACAATGAAACCAGAAGATCCTCGAACAAGATCAAGAGGACACGTGGCCGAGAGCGCAAAGACCACTAACATGACATCAAATAAAAATGAAAGCAAAGAGTGAAGACACGTTTGGACGAAGGCCAGCCGAGAGGGAGGAGGATAAAATGGACAGATCATGAGTAAGTCTCCCTCACAGCAGACTGTGTCCTTCTCTTGCTGTCATTCTCACAGAACAGTCTCACCGTAATCACTCACACACACCCGGGCTTCCCGTGTACCATAATTACACAATCACACTCTCTCAAATGATCGTCCCCTGAACATATACATGAGAAAAAGTAAAAACACATGCAACTCCAGCATTTTATACTACAGATTATGATACAAAATAAGGCATTTCTGTGTATGTATTGGTGTATGAGCATGAGTTCATAATGAGCATGTGTCAGTGGAAACTGCAACCACATTTAATGTCATTTTTTGCCTTGTTTGTACAAAAGACTGCTATTGAACATAAATGGATAAGTCATTTTTAAAATATATATATTTATAATATATATATATATTTTTTTATCATATATATATAAAAATTGATAGTGAAAAGCAGACGAGCTGTGAAAGCGGCCGTGATTTTGCTCACTCCATGACCTCACTGGCAGACACAGTGACCAGCTGGAGTGGGAGGTCGGAGTTTGAAAGGAGGTCCTGGGTGCCAGCCTGTTGCAAATTGGTGAGGATAAGAGTGGCTCCACCCCCGGTGATGATGGTGTCCGAGGGGGCGGCAGTGTCTATCTGACCTGCCCCAGTGTTGGAGTTTAGCCCTTTTTTGTTCTGGTGAGTTTTAATGTGTTTGGCCAAATGGTCGCTGCGCATGAAACGTTTCGAGCACTCTGGACACACAAACTTCTTTTCTCCTGAAAAACAAAAATAAAACCGTAAAGCCATGTCTGATATCAACGAGAAACCTCTAGAACTACTACTCAGCCAATTGGCCTTATGCACAGCTGCACTACTTCCTGAACTTAAGCCAGCTCCTTGTTTCCTGTCTGTCAAATTGATTTATTCAGGTGTGCCTGACCTCAGTAGTCATGGCAACAATAATCAGACACACCTGAATTAATCAAGTTCGGCCAATAATAGCAGACAGGAAACAAGGCGCTGGCTTAAGTTCAGGAAGTAGTGCAGCTGTCCATAAAGTCAAAATGTACAGCACGTGTTGGATCAATATAATAGGTCCAAAGAAAACATATGATGTATTTTCAGACACTGATCTATCCAGTGTGCCCATACCTGTGTGTGTTCTGCGGTGACGCTGGAGTTCGTCGCTGCGGGTGAATCTCTTGCCACAGTAACTCCACGAGCAAATGAAGGGTCTCTCTCCTGAGTGCCAGCGCAAGTGAGCTCGGAGGTGAGACGTCTTACCGTACACCTTACCACACCCGGGGATATGACAAATGTGCTGTTTCTTCTTTCCCATACTTGAACCTCTGAAATTACACACAATTTTTCAAGTGTTGTAAAAAATTCTATAAAAATGTACACAACCAACGATTTTGGCTGTTGACACCGAACTTGTGCTTCTGCATTGACATGTACATTACCTTCCTCCAGCCTCTTTGCAGTTGGGGCAAGTGCAGGCTACTCTACGTAGTCTTTTTCCCTCTTGGCCTGTCCCCTCCATATCCTCCTCAACCAACCGCACACGCAGATGCGACAAATCATTGGTGTTCAGGGTGGAATTCGGCCAATCATCTGACTCTGGCTCCTCTTTAATTTGAATATCTGCAAAAACAGATAGGGTGAATCTTTTAAAACAGAACCTCCACAAAGTAAAACAACTTTTTTTTGAAAAAAGTAGACCAACTTAATGATTTCAGTTATTTAATTCATGCATGGTTCCCAAAACTTTGACCAATGAATTTCCATGACTTCTTTAGTCATTTATTGCTTCTGAATAATGAATATAAAAGATTCAAAAATCTAT